AGATAGATAGATAGATAGATAGATAGATAGATAGATAGATAGATAGATAAATCACCATCAAACTATTTTTCTAAAACAGAAAAGGGCATGAAAAACATAGTGTAAGAAGTGTTCAAAGGGAACTGTTGAGTAAAGGGCGTAGCAACAAAAGCAATAATAATAGATACAAGCTGAATTGCAATGACCTTTTCTGTTAAAGGAGCTGTGGATAATACTTGAAATACACCAGCGTGGACTCCCTGAGCCAGGGCCAAGCAGTTGTATCAACAATAGTGTTATAAATCTTCTTTGTTGCTATCACTAGACTTTTTTTCCTCAGTTATGCTGTGTTCTGCATTTTTGAAGCATATAAAAAACAGAATTTATTTGGGAAAAAGTCAAATTGGATTTTTGTGTGCTCAGTAATTGGTAAGGAAATGTGAAAAATGCTGTCGATAATATGTAAATCTTCCTATTCAAGGACTGAGAAAGTATTTTAGGAGAGAAAGAGGGATGCGTGTGGTGTTGACAGTTCTGACAACCTACGGGCCTGATATATCAGATGTAACAACAGTTGTCAAATTCATACGGAGAGCCGTCAACAGTGTTGATTTCTTTACGACAGTGAAAAACTGAAGAATGTGTGGACGTGATGCGCAGGACATACTCAGTCCTGTGTGTGCATAAAAACAGGAACCATGATCCACATAAAAAAAGCAAAACAGAAAAAAAATAATCGCTCAGGCACAGGCATTCTCCCCGCAGCAACTTCACTGATGTGATTCTAAAATAACCCAGACTGAACACACGAAGCAGACACAACATGAGTGCGCACTAGTTCATACTCTGGAATAATCTGCATTAAGCTTGATGACAGTGGTCCAGTTGTGCTCAAATATGGTCCCACACTCCTTAGTTTGAGGGATATTTTTGGTTCTATGATGGTTATGTCATAAAAGAGCAAATTAATCCTCTGCTTCATACATGTCTATTTATGGTGGGACACGTTGGGGCGCATCAATGGATAATGATAAATATCATTATAGATTCACTTAAACAACCTCTTGCTTTGAGATTCCTTCACATACACAGAGATGTCGGATTGTACTTGTGGTGATTAAAACTATTGAGGCTCAGCTGGATGTTCTCATTCGAAAGCCAAAGCAGGCCACCTTTTATGTGGCTTGTATTTCGAATAACTTTGTAGGACTATTTAATGGATTCTGTTTGGATGAGGTTTCATATTAGGACTGCTCATCCATTTTGGGTCACTAGCTTCTTTTTCGCTTGTATTCTCTCCTCATTTGCACTTTAACATGACCACTCCTGTACTGGGTTTCTGTTTAGTCCAAAGATGTCTGGAAATCCTTAATCAGGTTACATAAGGCAGCTGTTCTGAGGCTGAATGGAGCACAGCTGCTGCAATGAGATTTGTAGGAAAACAAAAGTAAAAGCCGCATGTTCATCCCCACTCATCTGCCCAGGAATTAGAAGGTGTTAAACTTTGCAAAGCTTGCAAAGACCACCAGGAATTCATGTTTTTGTCAAAGTCATTTTACTCTGTATTTAATGTAACTGTGAGGCCGTATAAACTTGTAAGTATTGCTCAAAGTGCTGTGCTTCACTGAAATATCTCAACAACAATTAGATGTACCCATTGTTACAATAATTTGCTTCATAGTCTGCTGTTGTCGAGACGATTTTGCTCAAAACAGCACGGTGCTTGGAGTGCAGAACAGAGCAGCTGCCATGACCAAAGTACTGCTGTCTCAGCACCTTCATTTGTATCAAAATTACGCAACAACAGCTGGGTTTCCAAAGAACACGAACAGCTGTGTGACCTATCAATACGATCTGTCTGTCTTTAAGTTTTACAGCCACTTTTAACAGCATAAGCCATGTTATCAAAAATAAATGCACAATCAATGTTATCAATTTCAATTGAAAAAAGAGAAACTCAGAGAGGTGGAGTCAGTTGTAGGTGGAGATGTAAAGGGCTTCACCACTCAGTGAAACACCACTCAACTACAACCAACTATCATTACCTTAAGCATTACCCAAACTCACAGTAGTTTAACTAATTCAGCGTTAAGGAGGAGATGTCCAGCATCTTTAAAAAGCCAACATTTGGGTTTGTGTGGAAAATTTCTGGTGTCCCTTGACATGCGTAGGTTGCACCTTTAACGTGGAGCAATATATACATGTTTTCTGAACAGGGTGTGTTGCCATCCAAACTGGATTCTATTTTGCACGGAACCCTTTGCGTAAATCAGTTCAACAATGCCAGATCACATTCTACTAAAAAATCCATTCAGTTTCAACGATCACTGTGTTGTTGAGGAACCATTAGCAAACAAATAACTGCTGACTGGTAATTGGAATAACTGACATGAAACCCACCGTCTTGATTTTATTTGACCATTTCCTTTGTTACATTTGACACTGTAAAGTTACAATCTCGGTAAAACAGCTAACTGGAAATGAACTTTTTCTTAAACAACCCCACAAAGGTTTGTGAGGAGAAGAAAAAATTAAGAGTAATTATGGGGTCTATGATCTGTAGATGTTTATGTAACTTGGAGCTTAGGGTTTAGGACGCCATGTTCTGCCTGCTTGATAACAGTACTAGATTACTTGGACAATTAAATCTCCCACTTAAAACTCAGAGCCTTTAAACTGGGATCTTTAGCAGTCACAATATATGACAAACACCATTTGAGCTGTCTGAGGGGTCACCAAGAGATCAAACTGACAACTTGGGGATTCAGAACAAGGACAGCTGTGCAAACATGAGTGCAACAAGCCTGCACTATCCCAATGTCATCGGCCAGCGGCCATGATTTAAAAGTAGTATTTCGGGATTTGTAAGACATCTAAAAAAGAAAAGGATTAGATACAGAGAGGCCTAAACTAGCCTGTCTTGACCATCCAGCATTCAAAAGTGGTTCTTCTCGAGTGGCTGAAGAAGAAACAGGACAAGTGACTCATAATGTTCAGTCTCATGGTGATCTTGTGACTCTAAACTACCTTGGAATCTCTTTTGTACATATGCTAATGCTTTTTCGCAGTTCTTTTGTCCTTTCCAAGAACCATATGAACAGTTAAGAGCAAGCAGAACATTACAGAGAAAATTATATTATCTTGTCACTGTGAACATCAGATTTGGGCCTTTAGAAAGTCCCTGTTAATTGATTCCTCCTGCTTTAGGATATGTTTTCCAAGTCATGTTTATATGCATTCTACTTGATTATCTTCCAGCCACACACACAGTGATCGAAGAACAAACACACAAATAGAGACAGTGACAGACTGTGTGGGGAGCGACCCGGTTTCAATGGTTGGCTAATTGACTGGCCCGCCAAAGAGGGAGAGAAGCTGCTCTCTTGCATCAGAGGAATGAATTGTACTGAACAAAACAAGGAGATAAATGTGAGGGGGGACAAATAAAAAGCAACAAAAGACCCACAGTGTTTGCCAGAGAAGTTCAACATTGATTCATGATTGTGAAGCAGAGATAATCAGACAATTACATAACAGTAACATTTTGTGTGGCAGTTGTTCTCGTAACAGTTCAGCCTTGACTCTGACCTTCTAAACTCAGGTATAAATATCATGCAGTAACAGTGAAGACTACTGACATTTTAATGGGTTATGTGGACCTGGCTTTTGGTTGGATTACATACCACACAATGCTATCAAATTCTCCAGTCAATTATCCTATATATTCTCTTAGGGCAAATCCCAAAACTCTCAGTGTTATTTTACTTCATACAAAAATATAATTTTGCAATATGAATGAATTCATGCACCCTGACCTCCTCAAAATGACAGCAAGGAGAGCCTAAAGATTCCCCGGGCCCTATAAGTGGATATAGAAAAGGGGTGGACGAACCTAGTTTCACATTGGAAAGTGAATGGAAATTATGGAAAACCATTTATTCGAAAGGCAGCAAACAACTTTCACCTGAAAGTTTTGTAGGACACTTGAGTCATTTGTTTTTGTTCACAAAAACTTGGGACGTGTTTCTATCTGCCATACTTGCTTGTTGGTGGGGCAAATACTGAAGGCATGTAGCCCACCTATTATCATAGAACATGCTATATTTTTATTTCTTTACTGATCTGTTGTTTGATCATGCAGTGGACAACAGTAATATGAAAACATATCTAAGTGTTTGACCTGACTTTCTTCATATTATCATGTACTAGGCATCTTCAGATGTTTTCATTTAAATGTTCTTGAAATAATAAGATTAAGATGAAAAAGCACAGTTTTCTGCTCACGATTACATCAATGAGACATAATGGACAAAATCACTGAACAACGAAATGAAGAGCCCCTTGTTCTTGGAGAAAACTGCAGGTACAGTGAAGCCCAAATCCATCAGAGATGCCTCTTAGTTATCATTTCCCTTGTGCCCCAACTCTACGAGCAGTGGGAGTTCTCGGAATACAGAGAGCTGAAAGTTCTCTGAAAGGCTGAGAACTGCTACACTGTGTGCTGTCCTCCTGTTTCAGCTGTGTGAAAAATGCTTTAGCCACATTGTGTTGACAGAGAGTTGTTCTCATTTTACCTTAGTTTGAAAGAAAGAAAAACTCTTGCATGCTCGGTGACATAGCAATTAATATAAATAAAGTTCAATTTTATTCCTTATATATGTTTTAGATTGGAACTTTTGTCAAAATACAGTTCTCTGTAGCACATTGTAAAAGTGTAAAGCAAACTAAATGGAATAATTTGTAAATGAATAAAACCAACAAGATGACAGGTCAATGTTGTATTGTGATGATGTATTTGTATATTCATTAATCTTTTTAAACGTACTCAGGTGTGTATTACAATGCTGGCACAGTGTTCTTCTTAGTTTTTTAAGGTTTTGATATCAGTTTTTACATTTTTAAGGAGGTACATGACAAGAGATTCTTCACTGCACAAAGGCATCTTATGGGCACATAGGCTGACCCTCGGACCTTCAATGGGCAATTTCATTCCAGTATTTGTTACTGCTGCTGTCTGTTGTGTTTCTTTGTTGTATATACAACTCTCTGTTGCTCACTGTTTTGGCATCAGTCTACACTCCTTGATCACAAACAGTAGAGGTGGTGTATATAGCTGAAGGATTTAAGATAAGCACAGCATGACATTTGCTGAAATTGTAAACTATGCTTATTATTAAAACAAATACAAAATAAGTCCCTTTCACAGGCCCCTGTCGGTTATGGTCTGGTCACTGCTGCTGCCTGCTGGAGACCCACTGGTGTGCATGCACAAGGACATACCGAGAAAAGTAGAAAAGCTTCTGCTGGTTTGATGTTTTTTCAAAGATAAACCAACGATGGTGAAGTTTGATGTTACAATGCAAATATAAAAACGAGCCGGAAGTTATTCAATTCGTGGTTCATTCATTATTTCCCATATTATCCTGCTTATTGGTCAACATATGCTTTGTTTACTTTTACTATGTGGTAGAAACAAGCATAATGAAATATTGTGACAGAAACAAAATATGCATTAAATGTCATTCAGAGTTTCACAAATTATGTATTCGATTATTTAATTCAATGGTAGGGCAAGAGAAAGCTTCTAGTTTGTGCAAATGTCGAATTTGCATTTGTTGTACAAATGGCTTACAAATCCTAATTAAATAGAATATATAATAGTATATTTAAATAAAACTATTTTAAAGCCACGTAGAAAGACATCAACGACGTTCACAAAATAAATAAATAAATAAATCTAGCTTTAACGAGGCTAAATCGTGAGGGTTGATATTTGGGACTGTCTCTTTAAATCTTAGGTTTTCGAGTCGGTAGTGGTTACGTGTCTCTACAATCCTCCCTCTCTTCCTCCTGCCGGTAGCTCGGTTTGTGAGACTGGTTTGATTTCCTCAGCGAAGAAGCGTGTAACTGAATAGTAGGAGCACCATGGGCAGTGAGTATTAGTTTGTCACACAAACTCTTTAAGACTAATCATTTTAGGCTTTGAGGGAAAATCATTTATTTTTTCATTTAGTCTTTTTTCTTTCTTTTTTTTTTAAACTTAGCTTAAGAGAACATCGCTGCTAGCTTACATTGCTAGCTGGTTGTTTGGTTGTTTCTTTGTGTTTACAATTGTTTTACTCCATGTTTACTATGTATTCTTTTGTTCCATGCTGGATTTAATAGCTTATAATTTGTATTTAAGGCTGTTTTGTGGTCCGAATTGAGCGGAAACCTCCTTCTGAGCTACCTTGTTAGCCACTCATTCAAAGACACTGACAGTCTAATGATGACGACGCATAACGAAGCCGGCATTATCCTGAGCCGGTAGATTAAATACAACAGAAAATAAACTAAACTGAAAAAGAAAAGAATGGGATGTAACACTGTCGGAATAACCTCGATGGCAAATAATGTATTTGTTGAATATTGTACATTGAAATGTGCCAGTAGTCCGTCCCCACCCCCCCATACACTGCCACGTCCCATTGATATCCAGCTATTATTTCCTGTTAAAACTTTCTTTCTTTGCTTGTTTGTAGTCAAATTCTTGGAGGTTATAAAACCATTCTGTGCAGTGCTACCAGAGATACAAAAACCTGAGAGAAAGGTGCGTATTCTTTCTTTATTTCATTGACATGCTTCTACAATAACATGTCCTAAAAAGTTGACACTGTCTTCAGGACTTTAACTGTCTCTTGTTAAACTGCTTTGACTATATCTAACCATCAGATCCAGTTCAGAGAAAAGGTGTTATGGACGGCTATTACACTCTTCATCTTTCTGGTGTGTTGCCAGGTATGTGTCATTGGGTATTTTTCACATTTTGTGAAATAGGTATTACAGTTGTGTAAAATCTCTCTAATTATAATTTAACACATGATGATATACCTTTACACATGCTCATTAAACAGTGAATCTGTGCATAGACTTCGGTTGATTGGTTATAAGGACGTTATTATTATTAGTAGTAGTATTAATTATTTTGATCTTTTAGCCATGTTTTTTAATAAAGAGTTAGGTTGGGAGTTAGGAGTAGGTTAGAAAAGCAATCACATCCATTTGTAAAACTAAAGCTTGGTGTTAAAGGGCTTTCATTAGGTCAAGCAAAGCCCCTACAGGTTGTCAGTGACAGATTGATATAGGCCATTTAGATGGGTTTAAGGGTTTGTTCTGTCAGCTGATCATCTTCACAAGCAGTGAAATAAGGACAATTTTTTAGTGGACGTGTTGCTCGTCACTAAGTAGCTTAATTTAGGCAGTTAATTTTGAAACTATCTAGTTCACAAAAGCAATTAAAACTGTGTGTGTGGACTCTGCTCCTCCAGATTCCCCTCTTTGGCATCATGTCCTCAGACTCTGCAGATCCGTTCTACTGGATGAGAGTCATTCTGGCCTCAAACAGAGGTATTTGTCGAGGAGATATTGAAGAAAAGATTGAACGCCAATCTGCTGTTCTCGTCTTTTCAACCTAACAATAGTCTCTTTGTCCAGGTACTCTGATGGAACTGGGTATCTCCCCTATTGTCACCTCTGGGCTGATAATGCAGCTGCTAGCTGGAGCTAAGATCATCGAAGTTGGAGACACACCAAAGGACAGAGCCCTCTTTAATGGTGCTCAGAAATGTAAGTAAACTGAGGAGGTGGCGCCTTAATGTGGTCAGTATTTATAGTTCGGGTCTCTAACCTACTGATTATGTTTTTAGTATTTGGGATGATCATCACCATTGGCCAGGCTATTGTGTATGTGATGACTGGCATGTATGGAGATCCATCAGAGATGGGTGCTGGAATCTGTCTGCTCATCATCATTCAGGTAGTAACACAAAAAATGCATCTTAACTGACTGTGGATTTTTTTGAGAACAAAGTACATATAACTTGAAATTCCACTAACTAGAAATGTTGATTTTGATTGATAAGGTTAAATCTAGCTTTAGTGTGAAGGTTTGTAGCTTATTCTAACAAAGTAAGTAGCCTTTTTGTGAATAGGATCTAATGGCCACATGGAGACAGATATTGAGGAAATATTGTATTCCATAAATAAATGGTCAATAGCTCCAAAGACATGTGAGGTCATAGTCATTTTCAGAGGACTCCATCAGCATTTCTCCAGTTGACGGTGACTGTTCTGTTTTGCAGCTGTTTGTAGCCGGGCTGATTGTGCTGCTGCTGGATGAGTTGCTCCAGAAGGGCTACGGACTTGGTTCAGGGATCTCACTGTTCATTGCCACAAACATTTGTGAGACAATTGTATGGAAGGCCTTTAGCCCCACCACCGTGAACACTGGAAGAGGTAAGGGGCCACAGACTGCTTCTTGTTTGTACCCTGAGAATTCTTCATGTCATGGCAACACTCATGTGATTGCAGTCACTTATCTGCGTGCCCTAAAAGTGTTTGTATCTTGTGTTCCTAGGCACAGAGTTTGAGGGAGCAATCATCGCCCTTTTCCATCTGCTGGCTACACGGACTGACAAAGTGCGTGCTCTGAGAGAGGCCTTCTACAGACAGAACCTGCCCAACCTCATGAACCTCATCGCCACTGTGTTCGTCTTTGCTGTAGTCATATACTTTCAAGTGAGTGGCTGAGTCTTTGTTTCTTCATCTATAAATGTTTTTAGATTCTAATGGGAACTATCATCTAAAAATGGACATTTTCTCACAGGGATTCAGGGTCGATCTGCCGATCAAGTCGGCTCGCTATCGTGGCCAGTACAACACCTACCCTATCAAGCTGTTTTACACTTCCAACATTCCCATCATCCTGCAGTCTGCCTTAGTCTCCAACCTGTATGTTATCTCCCAGATGCTTTCCACACGCTTCAGTGGAAATTTCCTGGTTAATCTGCTTGGAACGTGGTCTGTAAGTAGACACATATCCTCTTTTTGAATGTACATTTTCTAATGTTTCACAGTTCAGCTGCAGCTGTCTTTAGTATTGATGTAAACATATTTATGATCAGAAGATGAACTGCTAAAGATTAAACATCATGAGAAACTTTTCAAAGCCATCATTAACGTAAGTCAGGGGTTGTGATGCTCCACAGTCATTTGCATGTTGAATTAGTGACATTGGGTTAAAATGTGTGTTCATACCGTTTCACCAGAACTGAGATTGAACCTCCGGGTCTTCTTGCTTTCCCTGTCTTAAACGTGGCAAAAATATAGGTTCTGTTACTTGAGTAGCAAACGGTAAGAATTAAATTTTTGTGAATAAATGCACAATATTTGTCTGGTTTGGAGTCCGGCTGACATATAAAGGAACAATGTAAGGGGAAGAAATGTATTTTCAAAATGTATATTCTCATAGGTTTTCATGACTGCATGTTTTTTCTTCTGTGTGAAGGCAGTATACATTTTCCTTTTCTCCTCATGTCTGTAGGACACGTCATCTGGAGGTCCGGCCCGCGCTTATCCTGTCGGAGGACTCTGTTACTACCTCTCTCCGCCCGAGTCTTTTTACTCGGTTCTAGACGACCCTGTGCACGCAGCCATCTACATTGTGTTCATGCTGGGCTCCTGTGCCTTCTTCTCAAAAACCTGGATTGAAGTCTCGGGCTCCTCTGCGAAAGATGTAAGACATAATTGCATTCATTATAACTTGTTTCTATTTTACCAAAGGGACATTGTGTCACAGCTTTGCTCTTCCCCATCACGCAGGTGGCCAAGCAGCTGAAGGAGCAGCAGATGGTGATGAGGGGACACAGAGAAACCTCAATGGTCCATGAACTGAACAGGTAAAATCAAGAAAACCTCTCAACCCTTTTTTTTGTTTTTCAAATTACCTGTAAAAACTAATATAAGGCCCTTCCACAGTTGGTAGAGTGGTTTATTCAGACTGCATTGGGCAGCATTCCCAGCATAAAGCTGTCCTGACCCACGTAGCCACCCCTAATGCTTTGTATTGTTCTATCTCCTTTTTCTTAGGTACATTCCCACAGCAGCAGCCTTCGGTGGCCTCTGCATCGGCGCTTTATCAGTGATGGCGGACTTCCTTGGCGCCATTGGCTCTGGCACTGGAATCCTGCTGGCTGTCACCATCATCTATCAGTACTTTGAAATTTTTGTCAAAGAACAGAGTGAAGTAGGCAGCTTTGGGGGCCTACTTTTCTAGAAAAGCCATAATTCTCCCGCCATCTACTGACATGCTTTTGTTCAGGATGCCATCCTTCCATTTATTTTGCATCGTCTGCATCATCACCTCTGCAGTTTCATGACGTCTGAAGAATCTCAGCTGAAATGGGAGACTGGCATCTCTAAGATGACACACAGACCACCATTACAGCTTTACTTCATTCACTTTTATACCCGACTCCAGAATAAAGCTCCCCACGATTCACCGGAAGGCTTTTTTTGGAAGTTCTTTGTCTCTCTCCAGACTCCAGTATGCAGGCATACTTGACTTGGATGATGGCGGTCATCTGCCTGCTCTGTGCTCTGTGTCTGTACTATCAGCTTTATTTTTATTTTTATTTTAACCTGCCAGTCAGGTGGGGATGTGGACCAGAACTGAACTGTCACATGCTGAGTCAAGTACTGTAAATGTTCCAGAAGCGTGACCCTGCGCAAGAACTTGGTGTGGTCAGGATCCCAGAAGAAGAGGATGTGGAGCTCACATTGGGTTCCCCCTCAAAGGAATAATTTTGGAATCATAAGAGGAAAAAGGGCTGCTCTCGTTGTTTCAATGTATGGCATTCCCAGTGATCCTGCAGTATTAAACCACATGTCATATTCATTCTTTAACCCACATCTTAAGTGTTTGTTTTATGTTGGGTTGTTTTGTTTTTTTCTTTAGTCATTTGTTCTGCATATAATCAGTTTTTCAGACAAATGTATTTTCTGTACATAGGCCATGCATTGAATAACTGAATTTGTCTTAAGGGTAAGATCATGTCTTTGAAATATGTAAAATAAATGCATTTCAGAACAAACTTGTATAAAGAATTCTCAATAAAAAAAACTCACTTTTGGTAAGTTGTCAAAGTTGTATTGCCTGTCTTTATCCTTTTCAAGAGCTATTGTAGGTTTGGGTTCTTTTTCATTCTTTGTAGTTTGATCAATTCTGGGTGAAAATAGGGGTACATTTTGTTTGGTTTTGCTTGGATTAAAGATTAAAATCTCTTCAGAGGTATTTTGAGGCTAATTAAATGGGGTGTAGTGAATACTGTGAACAGAAAAGAGCCATTCAAGGTCTCCTCCAGGGACAGGTACCTGTTTTTGATTTGTGGGGAACTAAAGTCAATATCACCAGAATAATGGTCATTAAAGATTTTTTTTACACGTTTTATGGAAAGCAACAAATTCCTATGACTGATCAAATATAAAAACATTATTTTCCTCTGTGTTTATTAATTCAATATTTTTACCAAAGGCACAATGTGTCATATCAGTGTCTTTTTTTTACGACACCAAACTGATGTAAACAAACACATTCATTAATTTGATATGAGTAAATATTCACAAAGTCTGTAGATCTGCCGAAGGCTTCAGACATTCCCAGTGTTCCCTCTCTTACACTCTGGACACATATATCTCTTTTTAAGAAACTGTCTTTATTGCATCGTAAAGGAGCTTTGAGTTATGATTATTATTAATATGATTATTACTATTATTAATATGATCAAAATGCATTAAATTTCCCTGTTACATTAAATCAAAGGGAATTGGAAACGTTTCTTCCCTATAGGAGGCAGCAGAACACCAAGGCAGCCTTAAGGCTACTGGAAATTGCAGCAACGAAGAAGAAAACCTCATGTCGTAAGAAGGATAGTTGTGAAACAGCTTCTGATGATGGAGTGAAACGTGCAGCTCTTTCATTATAAATTGTTGTTTGACAGAAAGAGTGCTTATTTCCGATGAGCTGGTAGCTGCTTTAGTAGATCTAAAGAAGGAATTGAAGCTTTTCCAGCCTGAAAAAATGAGCTCGATCAGAGAGGAAGGTGAGCATTTTGTGCTAAGAACGCTAACTTTTCTTTGATGCTAACGCTGAAGTTTTATTGAACATGAATGAAAAACGAACACTTGCTTTGTATCAAAGTGGATCATAGAGTGTTTACTTAGATGTGAATAAGGATAGTTGAATAATCTTAATAGACGTAACCTCTTGGACCGTCACTGAGTTTAACCTTGACCATCAATAATTTGACGGCTGTTGCATCAACAGTCGCCCAGTCAAAAACGCTCTTTTTATTCTATATAAGCATTTAACAGAATATACTTAAATAATATTAATGTTGGTATCTGCTAAGGTGGTTCAAAGCTCCTCTTTATATATTCTCAATCACTTCTGATTGGCTTCCAGGGCCATCAACATTACCTGGGCAATCATAATTTTACTGTAATTATTCCAGAGGAATGTGGAGCAACATAAAACGTTATTAAAGCAGACTTAATAAAGTATGTATGAATCACTTCTCATCCAATGTGGCAGGTGGCTCCTCACAAAGTGTTTTCATTGGTTGCCACATTACTGGCAAACCTGCCTCCAGATGGGACTATTTGATCCAAAAAAAGCTCCTCCCTTGTTGGAAAAGGCAGTACATTCATCTTTAACAGGCCCCTGTGTTCTATTGCTGTTCTGTTAATTCAGTGCTGGACATTTTGGCCTGGAATAGAATAAATAAAAATCCATTTTGTGTTTAAACTTGTAGTCAGGCAAGTTATTTCAGTATTTCCTCCGATCCTGAACCCCATTAGTCGTAGACTTGACCTCCATCCATTTTATTTGCGCTCTGGTTGCTCTTTTTGCTTTATTTCTCTGAAATAAAGTGAAACCCCAGTTACATTTCCCCAAAATGAAAACAAACGCATGTTACTCTAAAATACCCTAGTTTAAAAAGAAGACATCTGACCTTTTGTTTACGTTAAATCTCCTTTTCTCAAAATAGGAAAAGACAAAATCATCTTTGTCACCAAAGAGGATCATGAAACACCAAGCAATGCCGAGCTAGTGGAAGAAGACCCCAATGACCCGTACGAGGAGCGAGGTGAGAAGCAGCAAAGCTACCGGGAGCCAACAATTAGCTCCGCTAAAACATTCACAGGAAGCTGCTTGTGTTCAGTGTATGAATTCATCCCTCCGATCTGTTTCTAGGTCTTATTCTTCCCAACGGAGATATAAACTGGAACTGCCCTTGCCTGGGCGGGATGGCCAGTGGTCCCTGTGGGACTGAATTTAAAGACGCCTTCTCCTGCTTTCACTACAGTAAGGAGGAGGTGAAGGGCTCTGACTGCCTGGAGCAGTTCAGAGCTATGCAGGAGTGTTTGCAGCGCTACCCGGAGCTCTACCCTCAAGAAGACGAGACATCATCCAGCCAGACCTCGCAAGAATCTGCTACCGCCGAGCCCTCGGGTGCCGAGCCCTCGGGTGCTGAGCCGCCTGGTGTGGAGCCCTTGGGTGGGGAGGCCTCGGGTGTGGAGCCCTCGGGTGTGGAGTCAACACCTGCCTCCGAGCAGGACTCTGATAGCACACTGCCCAACACAGAGACCTCACCTGAGAGCTAATAATGAGCCATGCGGCTCAATATCCACATTTCACAATCATTCATCCATTTAATGAACAGAAATAATGCCTGTATTTAAAACAAAAAAAGTTTATTTCTCCCTTTTTTCACTATTACAAAGAAATTGATAGACGCTATTTGACTCATTGTCAGAAATGTGGGAGGGATGTGCTGGTGAAAGACTGAAAGACAAACAGGTGATGAAAGAATCCCAAAATCTGTTGGCATGTGCTTTGAAATGACAGTGAGAAGATGAAACCGTGTGAGTGGCTGCTAAGAAGGCACCGTCCTCCTCATGAAGACAGAACTAGCAGTGGCCGAGTACACCCGTGATGTAGCTGAGGACAAACCCGCTCGTGAATTCAGTCATTCTGACCTGATGCATTATCCCACCTCAGATGTAAATGTGTGAACTGAATGCAAGGAAAAGTGGCAGAAGTAATGATCTTGATGGTTCCAAATCGTGGCGCTCATCAACAGTTTTCCTTCAGCTTTAGTCATAGCACTTAGAGGTCCAAGCTCATTCTGTGCAATGACTGCACAGTGTGTGCACTTTTATTTGCACTGTCTCAAAACAAACAGGCGTCCGTTCTCACTCTGTGATTAACCATGGCAACTTCAAAGGCTTCATAGTTACAATAATGTGTTTTATACATTTTTTTAATATTATCAGCGCCCGTCTCTTTTCAAAGCTTTGTTTCTAGGTTACACATTCTCCTTGTGTTAAACTTGACTCAAAGTTTATGTTACTCGCGTAACAGTTAAATCAGATGAATTCCGAAGGGGTGAATAATTAATGTGCTGAAGAATAATGTGTGCGCGTGTGTGTGTGGTTAAGTGTTGGTTTCTCTGTCGGTTGCTCTTTGTGCTGGGGGGCTGGACTTCTGCTAATTAGTAACCACGGTGAAAACGTTACCTCATCTGAACCCAAACCAGGCATTTATGCGCAGCAAAGGCTTGATTGAAGTGAATATTGTTGAAGGTTTTCCAATAAAAATGCATCACGAGGAATCGTCACGTGAGATCTTGTTGTCTGTCACCGCAGTTGTCCCTCTAAAAATGACCTTGTGCTTCTTTACCTGCCAACATGAGCAAACATGCTTTTATCATGAGAACTCCTCCCCCTGCCGCCCCCTTTCAGAGGACCAAAAAATTGTTAATGTCACTTAGTTGTTACGTACAGAAAAAAAGGACATAATACAAACTTGGTGACGAACATAAAGTCACTCATGTTTTGAAGTAATGTGTGTAATCTCTCGAAATGTTAAGATAACTGTTGTAGGTAGAACCTGGAAACTGATTTAGAAATTTAATTTAATACAATCATGGAAATCTACAGAGGCATCAAAACAAATCAACAAAGATTACGAATATCTTATTCCAACACAGGAAGCGTACCTAGATTTCTTGGTTTATTTAGAAGAATTGATCCTTGTAATGTAAGAGGGTGTTTCAGTTCAAACGCTTCAAATAAACTATCGTTTTCCAGAATTGATTCTGTGTTCAAGCTCTGGCATAACTGTTTTGAGTTCATCTAAGATGGGAAGGTTGGCTGTGATAACAGATTTGGTGTGTAAATCCTGAGCATAATAATGAATTCCATCCCGGTTAAGCTTAAAAATGTGAATGATTTCAGCCCATGTCCCTTTATTTGCCAGCTGAACTGGTAAAAATGACCTCCAAAACTCCACTTTTCTGATCTAGGTAAGGCTCCACTTTATCCTTTTAACTTAGTTACATGACAAGGCATCAGAGGTCAGAGGTCAATGTCAGTGTTTGTCCGCTGAGGCACGCACCATTTCAAACCGTCTCAGGGATCAATAATTATCAAACACCCTTGTCTAGCTGTGGTGTACCATTGGTGGATTTTTAGGGGTAAAGATGGCCAAGAAACCAATGAGACAAAGGTTACAAAGTAATCAGCCTCAAATGTTGAAGTGTACTGTGCGTTGGTCTCCACAGAGGCGTGTTTGAAGAGAGGATTAGCGCTGCCTTCAGTGTCTGGCTTGATCGTTGTCTACTGGTCTCTGCGCAAGTGTAATTTAAGAGTATGTCAAGTCTAAAAGAAATATGCAGTGGTCTACCCCTGGATCCTTTACCACCCAACCCAGGTAGAGATCCCGGTGTACCGCACGCCCCTATCCGGACGCCTGACCTCACAGCAGAAGACGAGCGAGTGAGTAGTTTCCAAACATCTTTGCAACTCAACATTTTTTAGTCGAGGTGCATTTACCTCAGTTTTCCAAAGCAGCATTTTTCTTAATTCGTCATTAGAGACATTGAGACTTGTTAAACAGAGAGATGGTCATATTATTATTAATGATAACACTTCCGCATATCCTGAACTGAGACAGGCTGTCCTATAGGAAAACCAGCCTTTTAAAAGTGAAAAAACGGGCTATCTGTGGTTATTATCAAATAACGTTTGGTGTAAATTGTGTTACAACTCAATGATAAGCGATTACTGTGTTAAAAACGTTAAGTTACCATGCAGATTCCACAGTCTGACCGTGTCCTCTTTGTAAAGCTTTTTTTTCTGGTGAAAAAAGTGGTCCTGCAAAAAGATAGAGTAAAGGCTTCAGTCAATAATTGAGGGAGTCCCATGTTGCATAAGAACAGAGGGAAAAGGAGGACAAAATGTGCCTGTGTCTTTCTGATGTCACTTTAATGCTGAAAATTCTGATAATTTTTTGCTAAACCACAGCTAATTTTTCCTCCCTTTAGCTGGCGCTGAGAAATGCCCTGCGTTACTTCCCCCCGTCCCACCATGCAACGCTGGCGCCTGAGTTTGCTCAGGAGCTGCGGCAGTATGGGCACATATACATGTACCGCTTCTGCCCCACGTTTCGGCTGAGGTGAGGGCCCCTGACCAGAGCCTGCTTAGTAAAACTATGGCCAAAAGTGGGATTTGAGATGTAAAATCACATAGTGATGAAATGATAGACCCAGGCTGCACTGACACTTCTTCCTTTGTACTAGGTACACAAACCAATTGTTTAATTTTTTCCTAAAACAAGGATTTCGTTAACTCTTTCTTTGTATGAGAGAAAGGACAGGGCAAAATAAAGATTCAAAAGAAGAAAAACACCTCTTAACCACAACAGCAGCAGCCAATAGCAGCTAAGCTGGAACACCACTTCTCTTCTCTTCCAAAGAGCCTACCCCATAGAGCAGTATCCCTGCCGCACACGGCAAGCGGCTTCCATAATGCTGATGATCATGAACAATTTGGACCCAGCAGTTGCTCAGGTAAATTGTATTACACAGCTTCTAACGAATAGGCACTTTTACCAGGCGCCTTGTTCAATTTGCCATCAGAACAGCAGCTAAACCTTTCTTCATCCTGCAGTTTCCCCAGGAGCTGGTCACCTACGGTGGGAACGGGCAGGTGTTTAGCAACTGGGCTCAGGTAAGCTCCTTGTTTTCCTGAAACTTTACACAAACCCGAACAGCTGCGTGTTACATTTTTCCGTCTGTGTGTGATCGTGCGAGTGCAGTTCCGCCTGGTGATGCGTTACCTGAGTGAGATGACAGAGGAGCAAACTCTGGTGATGTACAGCGGACATCCCATGGGCTTGTTCCCCAGCCTGCCCTCCTCACCTCGCGCCATCATCACAAACGGCATGGTGACTGCACAAAACACATCTGGCTGCCTAAAGCCACGCCGACACGCACAACAGACCCCGCAGATGTTTTGTTTTTCTCTCCCTTCGTTCAGGTCATTCCAAATTACTCCTCCAGAGATCAGTATGAGAGGATGTTTGCACTCGGTGTAACAATGTAAGTTTGTGTAGGGTGAGTGTTAAAAACAAGACACGCACAGTTTTTATACAGGTGTGTGTACTTTTGTTGTATATATCCAGGTACGGGCAAATGACAGCAGGCAGTTACTGTTACATCGGGCCTCAAGGGATTGTTCACGGCACTATGGTTTGTGAGAAAACGACAAACATAAACATAATAAAATACCACAGTAATGCGGGGTGCACCACACGCTTCTTGTTTGTCTTGTTTTTTTCCCTGTAGCTGACGGTGCTGAACGCAGGTCGGAGGTACCTGGGCACCGATGACCTGAGGGGGCGTGTCTTTGTGACCTCTGGCCTGGGTGGCATGAGTGGGGCTCAGGCCAAAGCTGCCGTCATCGCCGGCTGCGTTGGTGTGATTGCTGAGGTCAGCCCGTTCCCAGTCATTTCCCCCTTATCAGTCATGGCCGAGTGAGCAGAAATGCAGGACGTATTATGTGTACTTATGTGATTTGGGGAGTTTGATTTGTGCGTAGGTGGATGAAGCTCCCCTGAGAAAAAGACATGAGCAAGGCTGGCTGATGGAAGTCACCAGCAGCCTGGATCACTGCATTAAACGGATCAGGTGAAAGAAAAAAGCAGATGATTCATACTATAGGCCTGTCCAAACACGACATAACAGATTGCAAAAAACTTTCAACAGCTAAAAAAAACAAAAAAACGACTTCCATCATTGCAAACAATAAATACTCATCAAGTCGGGGCTCAACTAATTCCAAGAAAGCGTTTATCTGTAAGAAGCTCAGACGTGTTTTACTCTGTTGGGAGTTTGCCAGATATGTAACTGCTGACAATGTGTTTGGAGGAAAACTGGCACCAAGTATCACTTCATTTAAAGCTTCCCCACAATCACACATGACTGAAAATGAGCCTGCGCTGACTCTATGACAAGACCTAAAGTGAACTTCCGAGAAATATTTGGAGGAATTGGCAAGAAACATCATGTTTAACGGTGTCTAACTTTGTAGAATTATTCTTGATAAAAGATTAGGCTGTCATTGGTGTCAAAGGCACTTTAAAGCAACAAATGAGGAAGCCCTTAGTATATTATCGACCTGAAATGGTGATACAAAACTGTTTGGGCATTGTATCCATAGAGGGTTGTGCATAACTCAATAAGGGAATAAAGAACACAATCCACCTTACGATTTGTCATTAACATACAAATGTTCGAATAGGTCTGAAAGTATTTCCTTTGCATTGTAAATACTGGATCTGAGCAATTAGCCACCTCTCATCCAAACACTGTTCCATCTTTGAAAGTCCCAAAATGATTTTAAAAAAACATCTTGAAAACTCATATTCTCATCTTGTCTTATAGAGAGGCCAAGAGCTCCAAGACTCCTCTCAGTCTGGGTTACCATGGCAATGTTGTTGATTTATGGTGAGTGAACTTCCTCATTTTGTGACGCGATCCAAGACACAACCTGACTCTGCAGCCACAGACTTTGTTTGTGCGACTGGATTGTTCAGCTTTCTTTAAATATTTGGTAAAAATGTGCCTGCCTGGTCAGGGAGAGGCTCCTGCTGGAGTTTGAGAGAACAGGAGAGCTGCTGGTGGATCTGGGCTCGGATCAGACCTCTCTGCACAACCCATATAATGGCGGCTACTACCCAGCGCCGCTCAGCTTCCGCCAGGCCAACCAGCTCATGTCCACTGACCCCGGACGATTCCGAAACACTGTCAAAGAGAGGTACGTTTACTGAAAGCGAACAGTGTGTGACACCAATAGATCAATGTCACATTTTTATTTCATTTTATTTTGCCATCACAGCCTCCGAAGACATATAAAGGCTATCAACCAGTTGTCTAATGCAGGTATGTTCTTCTGGGATTATGGAAATGCATTCCTCCTGGAGGCCCAAAGAGCTGGTGAGTCATTTTATGAATATATGCACACAAAAATCTTTGTTTTTTTAGTCTTCATTAGATTAACTATAAATCAAAACATGTGTATCACTCAATATAGGTGCAGACGTTGAAAAAGTCAATGGTGGAGCAACAGAGTTTCGCTACCCGTCTTATGTTCAGCACATTATGGGGTGAGACAATTCAAAGAATCAGGCGCTGGTCTAGTGGCATTGATACATCTCATTAACCTCTTTCATTTAATGTTTGTCGTGAAACCAAAAGTAGTGATAAATCTTGGAAAGCCCATGAGTAATGGCCAGTATACTTTTGTCCTGAATCACACTTGTGTTCATATTCTGCAGGGATATTTTCTCTCTGGGCTTTGGGCCGTTTCGCTGGGTGTGCACATCAGGTGACCCCCAAGATTTGGTTGTGACTGACAACATTGCTGCAACTGTTCTGGAGGAAATCAGCGCCGGTGCCTCACCTCGTATCAAACAGCAGTACAACGACAACATCCGCTGGATCAGAGAGGCTGGAAAACACAAAATGGTCAGCTTTCTGGGCAAATCTCTCTATCTATCTATCACTCTATACACACATATATGTTATGTTATGATTTCATGTAATGATTTAATCTGATAACCTGATTTAACCTGATTTAATCTCCTATTCTTTTGCAGGTAGTTGGATCCCAAGCCAGGATTCTTTACTCTGACCAAAAAGGAAGAGTCCTCATTGCTTTGGCCATCAACCAGGCCATCGCTGATGGAAGAGTTTCAGTATGAGAATTAATTGCCCGACTAATATTGATTTGTGTCTACTGCTATGAACGCTGTGTCTTAGCAATGTCTTAGAGGTGTCTTAGCATTTTTCTTTCCATGTTTAGGGGCCGGTGGTTATTAGCAGAGACCATCACGATGTTAGTGGCACAGACAGCCCCTTCAGAGAGACCTCTAACGTTTATGATGGATCTGCTTTCTGTGCAGGTATGGGGATCTTAAAACTAACGATTTAAATGTAAAATAAGATTAACAAAGAGCTCACAGATCCTACATGTTCACATTAATTAGCAATACATTTTTAAACTATCCTCCTGGTGGTTTTTAGTTTATGCAAATTAAAGTAATCGTGATTTGTGATGTGATGTGCTTTTGCCCTTAAGCCTCTTTTTAATTCCATTTAGTAATAAAAAAAAAACTTAAAGTTACCAATGTCTCCCACTTGCAGACATGGCAGTCCAGAACTTTGTGGGTGATGCATTTAGAGGAGCCACTTGGGTCTCTCTTCACAATGGTGGTGGTGTTGGCTGGTGAGACATGGCTGGTCATATGTAAGGACTATTGCTCTGTATGACAGGCTGAGATCATGTTATCCATGCTTGTATTTCCCCCTACAGGGGAGAGGTAATGAATGGTGGATTTGGTTTGCTTCTGGATGGCTCAGAGGAGGCAGCAAAGCGGGCCAGTCTGATGCTCAACTGGGACGTCTCCAACGGGGTGAGCGCACTGACAGCGATGATGGGGAGGTGAGGATTTTCCGCTGACTGTGATCTGCGTGGGGCTTTTTATGGCAGGTGGCTCGGCGTTGCTGGTCCGGAAACTCCCACGCCTATGACACCATCCAGCGCACCATGGAGGAGAACAGGCAGCTGCGCGTCACCATGCCCTTCCCGGTGCAGGACGAGCACGTGCTGGACCGTGCCCTGCAGGGATAGCCACCACCTTAGCACCGTTCCATTCAAGCTGCCAGTTAATTAAAAACACACACAAACGTAAAACTAAAAATTCCTGTAACTCCAATCCCCAAGGCATTTTTATCAAAACGAGGCCTCATCCAACACTTTTATACACCAGAAACAATTTCAACTACAGAATCCAAATTCATACTTTAAAAACTACAGTATTTTATCAGTACAGGAATCTTAAATAAGTCAGTGATAAAGTGCTACATGGCTGTCTACCATCATGTCGCAGAATGTAAAATAAACCTTGATATGTTGCTGAATTTATCTTTCGATTTGCTGCATGTAAGTCTATTGATCTAACCTGTGAACAACACACACAGACAGCTCCTGCTTTGTTAAACTCACCATGGAGGCATCTGGTATTTGGACAAGTTCTTCACCTGTGGAACACGCTTGACAGCTGAAGGACCTCTTCAAGATGCTACGGTTTTGTTAAAGAAACAGTTCATATCATCTTGATCATCCCACAGAAGGGAGAACTCAACACAGAGCTTATAATTGTTTAATATGTAGCAACAAATTTTCATTAATTGAATATAAACCTGGAAGCCTATAAGCGTTGATGAGTTGTGTATTGATGACTTTAAAAAATATCTCTGTAAAGAATATGGTGAAATCTATCAATTTTCTAAACCTGCTGAATCCAATTCAGAGTAGTGGGATGGTAGGGACCTATCCCAGGTACTTTTGAGCTGAAGTGGGGTGCCCTGGATAGGTCAAAGGGCAACACAGAGACAAGTAAGGAAAACAACAGTGCAAGAATCCAGTCAGACGGAGGTCCAAATGCCAATCACAAATAGTGAGAAATGTGCCTTTGTCTCTTTAAATCCAGCAGAGAAACAGGAAGCCAAAGCCCATTTGATCACATCTTCTGACCACATTAATTCTGTAGAATCTGCACTCAGCTGCACGTATTTTCCACTGGATGCTTTTTAGCTTCAAGAAAGCAGATGGACAGGAAACCAGGGTCAAATAACTGATGCAATCGCCCTGTATTGGTTTAAATGACCACAATCCAATAAAGTAGTGACCATAAAAAGAGGAGTCCTCTCAATGTCCAAACACTGCAAAATACTTTTTATAATGCTGCTCATTCGCAGAATTTTTTTTTGTTTAAGCAGAGGATCAAATTTCCTGCAATCTAGTGTGTTTCAGTGTCTCCAATAGTAGCGTGTTTGTTCCTTTAAGAATACTGCGAATGATGAATGAACTTGATCTTTTTCTCGCTGACGTAAAGAGGGTTGAGGGGCTGGCGTTCCCAGAAGGGAGGCAGATAGCCATAATGAGGGCCCAGAAGGGGGTTCCGTAGTTTTTGTGCTTTTTGGTACATTGTTTTTTTTTCTGCTCTGCCATTCAGCCTTCTATTCGGATTTTCTATTGTGTCCGCCATTGACATAACGGGGCTGCTCAGATCTCCGTCCTTTTTTTTTTTCTTTTTTTTTTACAATATTATACTGAAAACATTTTCTTTGTATTCTAAAGAGTGGATTGATCTAAAACGCAAGCTACGAAAAAGATTAGGATGACACTGGATCATCGCTCTGGCACAGACTGATGTCATTTTGAGAGCAGCACTGTGCGCTTTTTTTGGGAAAAGAAACATGCATGAGAGCCAGGAGGAGCGGTCGGTGAGCCCAGCCCCTGCGCACCACGGGACAGCGCTCAGCGGTCACTCCACCGGCCAGGGGAGCAGTCTGGACACTGCCCTCGCTGACCTCCAGCCACCCGCTTATTTTAAACTAGAATTCAAGAGACACGCAGTGACAGAAGACTACAAGATAACGTCTCAGGTTCTCGGTCTGGGGATCAATGGCAAAGTGCTGGAGTGTTACTGCAAGAAAACGGGGGAGAAGTGTGCTCTCAAGGTGCGTTCATGTGGGATTGGACTGATTTTCTTTGCCTGGTTCTGTCACTGGAATGGACACACAAATTATTCATGTCTCTTTTGTTTTTGTGGTCCACGCGTTTAATAGTACATTATGCTAAACATTTGAAGACGTTTTACTCATGTGAATTACAATAACTAAACTTTTTTTTTATCTCTGATTACATGGAGAACTGAGCTACCAGACATGCCTTAAGCGATGCCATGACAAAGTCTGTTTTGGTGATTAATGTGTGAACAATGGTTTACAATGGATTATAATCCATAAGAATGTATGCCTCTGCCACTGAATTTCAATTGAGTGTGTTTCTCTCATCTTCTCAGGAGTAAGAATTCAGCTCCGGTTATGTACCGTAGCTAAGGCAGCTCTGTAAGTCAATAACCAGCTGGCAGTAGACTTGCAGGAAAGTCCTTAGAAAATAAACAGGAAGAACAGCCAAATGACTCCTTCCACATATTTTCTTTGGAAGAGATTTAAACGCTAGCCACAACCATCTGACAAACATCTGACTTCTTTATCTGTAGCATCCATCCATCCATCAGCTGACAACAGGCCAGATATCTGTAGCACTTCACTATGAAATATTCATTTTGATGTAGTTTTGTCAATTTTCGGCTGTAAATAAATGTAGCTTAACAAACAAATATAGTTGTTACATTTTGATAAATGCAGTATGGATATAATCTTTCACTGAACTGTCCTTTGGTTTGTTGTAACAGATTCTGTACGATACTCCTAAAGCCCGGCGGGAGGTGGAGCTACACTGGCGAGTGTCTGGAGGCCCCCATATTGTTCGCATCCTAAGCTTGTATGAAAATATGCACAAGGGGAAGAAATGCCTGCTCATTGTCATGGAGTGGTGAGCATCAGCTCTTTGTTTTTAAAGTGTACATTTTTAAACTAAGTATTATTATTTGACCTTTTTTTAAAAGATTTGTCAGACAAACAAGCCACTTATTCCAGCTACAACCAGAGGGAAATGACTCCCTGGTCCCTGACATCCTGAATAACACTGTATTATATTATACTAAAATATTTATTAAAGCACTCATAAAGTTTCATACAGACATACTAAAGCCAGTTAAATGATCTGGGAGCTTTATTTTTTACAAGCTCTTTTTAAAAGATCAGTGTTTTACTTGGTCTTAAGGACAGAGCAGGTGTCTGTGTCACATAACCAAATTGGCAACTGGGTCCACTGCAGAGAAAATCAAAAACTGAAAGTTCTAGTTCTCATTCTGGTCTAGAAATCTCTGGGAACTGCTTGCAGATCTGGACTCTGACAGTGAAAACTGATCGTGCATTTATACAATCTGCATTTCATCAAGCATTTTCAGCATTAGAAGATGGTGCTTCCATATTTACTGGAAAAGAACAACTAAAAAAGGTTGCATCTGATGCAGAACATTGTTTAATCTGTGAATCTGAAAACTGTATCTGTGTTAAACTGAGAAAAAGATTTTCAGTGATGACTGATGCAGCCCACGTTATAGACTGCATGTTCAAACAAAGCTCAGCTTTCAATGGAAGTTGAGACAAAAAAGTATCTTCCCTCTTATCTAAACAACATTCCAAAGCCACATATATAAAAAAAAAACATATGAATTCTATTGACAGATTTATTTTTTTGCTAAATATCAGTTCATGTTTGAGTCATGTGAGTGTGTTTTTACTGAGTTGCCTCTTCTAAAATGGAGAGGTGCGACGACAAACGCATGATTGCAGTGAATAACTGTGACCACTTGCCAAGAGAACCCTTACTGCCCTAGTTCTCATCTTCTTGTCTTTCTTGTGTTAGCATGGAGGGAGGGGAGCTGTTCAGTCGCATTCAGGCCAGAGGGGACCAGGCCTTCACTGAGAGAGGTCAGTCACTGAGTCGGAGTTTATGTGTTGCAACGTTTGTCTGTCTATCTGTCTGTTTATCTGTCTCATTTTTGTCCATCAGAGGTGTCAGAGATCATGTATGACATTGGCACAGCCATAGAATATCTCCACAATATGGACTTTGCTCACAGAGATGTTAAGGTACTATTTTAATCTAAATAAATTAGAAGATGGTTTCCAGTTGTATGCTTCAGTTTGTTTCATTTTAGTCTCTCATATTGCAGCCTGAAAACCTGCTATATACCACAAAGGAGAGTAATGCCACTCTGAAACTGACTGACTTTGGCTTTGCAAAGGAGACAACACTGCACAACTCTCTCCAAACCCCCTGTTATACTCCATATTATGTTGGTGAGTGTTGGCTGTTGCTTTCGGCACATTTTGTCATACATTTGTTTTGAGGGTTGTGTTTATTTAATTGGATTGCTTTCATTCACTTTATATCATCATCGCTGTAGTGTGTTTTTTCATTCTGTCTTTTTTTATCTGCATCTCTTTGTCATCCAGCACCAGAAGTGCTTGGTCCAGAGAAATACGACAAGTCATGTGACATGTGGTCTCTAGGGGTAATCATGTATATATTGTAAGTATCATATGTCTCTTTAAAGTTATTCAACTTTGTCAAGTTCTTATATGTAGTTATCCTTTTTTAAACAATGCATACTTTTCTTTTCACCTCCCTTCTCATCTTCTGACTCGCTTCTCTTTAGACTTTGTGGATTTCCTCCGTTCTACTCAAACACAGGTCAGGCTATTTCTCCAGGTATGAAACAGAGGATCAGACTGGGCCAGTATGAATTTCCGAACCCCGAGTGGGCTGATGTTTCCGAGGAAGGTCAGCATTTGAGCTTGAGATTCACATTTTACAGCAAAAACCATTTAACTATGCATACAGCAGGACTGCAGAGATTTCTTTTTTCAAATTCTTGAATGAATATGGCCTCTACTACTTCTGTAGTATATCCTGAATAGTAGAGGTGGGTGTCAGTCTGCACAAAATGCCCACACAGTAACAAACCTACTACATTTCTGCATGTCAAAATTCTGTTTACCCTTTTCTTGTATGGATCTATGATTAGTTACACCTGTTGGTGCATTGCTTTTTAAAACTCTAGTGGCGATGCACACTTACACTAAAGAGCTATGGGGCTATTTCGTTTAACTTCTATCTATTTTCCTGTAGCCAAACAACTCATCATTCAGCTACTGAAGACAGACCCCAGCGAGAGAATGACCATTGGACAGTTCATGAACCATCCTTGGATTAGCGTAAGCAAATATTTTCTGAGCCTTGCAATTGTAGACTCCCATAATGTTGCTCAGTGTCATCATGGATGTGTCTTTCTACCGACAGAAGTCAATGGTGGTTCCTCCAACGCCGCTGCACACGTCCAGAGTGTTGAGGGAGGATAAGGAGCTATGGGACGACGTAAAGGTCAGACTGGTGTGAATACGAATCCTGACCACAAGGTGTCAGTAAATCATCAGCTCAGGCTCACAGACAAACTGTTCCAACAGGAGGAAATGACCAGCGCCCTGGCCACCATGCGTGTGGATTATGACCAGGTGAAGATCAAAGACTTGGACACATCCAACAACTCTCTGCTGAACAAGAGGCGAAAGAGGCCGGCGCCCGATGGAGCTGACCAGGCAAAGGAAAGTGGCAGAGAGGATGGGGAGGGGCAAGGGACGGGTGAGGAGTGACAGTCAAAGAGAAGCTGTATTGTATCAGTTTGTGGGAAAATAATTACCGGTGAAAAGTTATTAAAAAAAAGTCAGAGTAAGCAATATTTTCCCACTCACATATCACATATCTGTACTTTATGTATTTGTTATTTGTGTCACTGTTCTTAATGATACGATAAAGGACATTTATTTTTAGATACCCTAACCAACTGAAATAAATTTTGGTTGTTTTCCAGATTCCATGAGTCACTTTGTACACAAAAGTCCATTTCACACAAATCATGAGTTATTTTAAAACTATATATATACAGGATTAAATAAGTAATCAAATAATCAACTGTGTGCGATAACTGACTTAAAAAAACTATTCAAAGTGTGTGGTGGGATTATGTGCGTGTCAAATATGGTGAAATCAAGGGACATTTAAATATCTGCTGTTAAGGTATGATGCATACAAAAAACATAATGCCGTGAAGCCATTTGAAAGGCTTATCATGACATTTCATACAAATTAAATGGATAAAATTAGGCTTTCTCCCCATGATTTAGCAGACAGGACTCTGAGTTGGACAGGAAAACAGAGGCATACGGAGCAAAAAGAAACAATAAAAGTGCTGTGGATTGTGTGCTGTCCACTTTCCCAGACACACAACCCTGCAGTTTTAGTTTTACAATTCTGTATTGATTCTGAAATGCCACTAAGACAGCAGCAGGTGTAGATGCTTGTACAGGAAAAGTTACACCACTTTCCAGGCAGTGATAAAGGACAAAGAGCATTCTGTGGAGCTCTATGAAACAGCATCACAAACAGCTGGAAAATAATTCTCCAAAAATAGGGGAGGTGCAGCGTTGAATGAATGGAGGGCCTATTTTCGTGCTTTGAGCTCATTTGGATACTGGTAGCTGCACTGCATGTGTACAGGCCATGAATTTGCATGATTAGGCCTTATGCCACTGAAACCAGTTATAAGGATTGGAGAGGATTTGTGTGACACATTTGGATAGGACACATGTTCAGTGTTGGAAGGGTTGGAGTCAAAGCCAAGTGATGGCATTCGGTTTTATCCCTGACTCTCAGGTAATGAGCGATCTTCTCACAATTCGCGAAAAAGGTATACTCGTGAATCTGCTGGAACCTCAGTGTAAGGTCAGTCCAGTTCATTACTGTCATTTTGGGCATTTCCCATATGTAGTGTGTAAAACTGTCTAAAACATAACAACAGTTCATTTTAAATGAGCATCTAAGAATTTCAAATCCATTTAAAAATCTATCCTGAGTAACTAAATGCATAATTTGAATGTGTACCTATGTTTGCCATGGTTCTCCTGTTATCAGCAGCTATCAGAGGAGGTCTTGTGGTAGAATAGACCTTCAGTCCAGTCTGTGTTTTAAAGTCAGCGGGTTGACTAAATTTCTTTCTAAATTCAATCATACATCTACAAAATGACAATTAAATTTAAAAAGTAATTTATTAATAAATGAGGGTTTTTCATACCAAGTCCCAAATGAAAGGCTGGTCTCTTAAAATCTCCCACAAACTGTTAAAAAAAAAATCTAAGTGGATCATCTATTAAAGTGCAACATCATCAACCTCTAAATTGAGGCCGCTGGCTCTCTGAGGAGCAACCTGTCTGCCACGTGGTGCTCTGATACCGAACTATAAATGCCTCAGAGGTTAGTCACAGGCACAAGAGAGGATTTTGGGAAAGACAAAAGAAAATCAGACGTTATACTGCAGAATACCAAAAAATGTCTGTGGGTAAATGGGAAATAATGTTCAGGCTTCTATAGAAAGACAAATAACTAACAAACCCAGAGACCAATAAAAAAGCAGATAATATACAGTATAACCCTAATAGACTATATAGACTGTACTTGGGTTATATCTGCTCCACTACACAACATGGTCCTATACTGAATTAAAGATGTTTGTTTCGAATTCACTTTCACATTTTTGTATATTTCATTTTAGGTCAAATAAATACAGAGTAAGGAAATGCTTTTGAGTAGTCAACATAAAACAAGAAGGATTTAAGTTTTCATTCAAGTGTATAATGTGTGTGATTGCTGATGTACTTTAGCTAATCAAAACAACAGTAGCCCAGCTACTAGAAGCCAATGACAGCCAGAATGAGAGTCCGGGCTGGCACCGTTCAGCCTGTGGCGTGCTTTGCCTCATCGAGGACGATTCGGTATGCTCCTGCTTCCTGCGTCTCTACTGTGTCAAGGTAAAAACAAAAACGGCACTGGCACAGCCCTCTCTGTGTCAGGCAGCTTTTTCGTCCTCTTTGTTTTGTGCCTACAACTACAGCTGCACGTAGAGGCCAGTCTGTGGTGGTCCCCCCTTATTTACAGTTTCCTTTTCTAACAATAAGGAGTCTTGTGTTGATTGTGGCTCCACCTATAGGAGACTGTTTATGACCCCTTTCCCCTTTTCTTTGAACTTTTTTTTAAACACAGGGTGCCAAGTTGCTTTGGGAGCAGGAAATATTCACTCCATTCAAGTACACTGCAGCTCGTTCTTACTTCCACACTTTCCCTGCAGACGTGAGTTTCGTGTTGAAGTGTCTGTGTTTGAGGCACGCTCATTAGAAAGGGGTTGGCCTGAGATGGGTTTGCTGTATTTCCTCAGGTACACCAGGTCGGCCTCAACTTTGCAAATGAGGCCGAGGCAGAGGAGTTCCTTCTCGCAGTGAAGAGTGTCCAAGGTTAGTCTGCCAGCAAATCATGTCCACATCACATTTTTGACAATAAAACCAAAGTAAACCGGCTGTTTTTCCTCATAAGTTTCCATTTTAATTTGCAGAGAGAACGAACACCAAGACTGACGTGACAATAACTGGAAAAGCAAGCAGTGCATCTCATTATTCACACGCTCCAAGGTTAGGAAAAAATGGGTTCTGGGAGGGTAACAAAGTATTAAACTGTGGCTTTACGTTGTCTTTTTCTTTTTTACAGATATGAATCAGAGGAAAATTCAAATGAAGAGAGACATTTTCCAGTGGATATGCCGTCCACCACAGCTTCTCTGGCTACATATTCTGTAAGTCTGGCTAAACAGAGTGACATTCATTCTTAACACGGTTTTACCACAACTGTTCTTTGAAATGATTTTCTGTCGTCTCACCCTTGAAGTTCACAGATCTAGAGCCTACTATGAGGAGGTTGTTGATGCAGGCAAGACTCACCGAGGAAGACCTAAAGGATAAAGATGTAGCTGAGGCTGTTGACTGCATCATCCAAAATTTTGGAGGACTGAAAGCTGTACAGAAAGAACTGAGAAGGAGAGGTATTATTTCTCTAAAAGTTGTACGCTTTTAAATTCCGTGCACATTTATGTAACTTCTAAAAAACTTTTTCTGGTTCTTACTAGGCCCCGTCGCTCAGACATTGCCGAGATCTGCGTCCATGTCCCTCGCTTTGCAGAAAGGGCCTTTACCACCAGTCCCCCCCGCAAAACACTCCACCGCCTCTCAGGAGGGGTCACACGGGTCGTCCACGCAAAGAAGAAGTCAGTTTGACACATGGGCATCTTCTCGTCAAACATCTGGAGCAGAAAGAAAGAGAAAGAGTGTTAGCTTCAAACATGTAAGAAGCCTCGATCTTCATAAACATCCATATTTTGTAAAGATGGTTGATTAAGAGTGACCTTTCTTTGTTATTATAGGTGGGCAACTCAGAGGCAAAGGGGGAGCTGATCCTGAATGCACTGAAGGAGGTATTCAAACAAAAGCAGATGCTCCAGCAAAACACAAGCGAGGAAGCAAATAACATGGACAGATACCAGCAATAACTGGAACTTTGCTGATTTTGTCTTTTTTTTAAAGTCTGATTCTTACTCATGGCCTTGACCCACATTGACCGGCCACAAAGACCATGTAAAGTTCTCAGTTCCATGGCTATTGACCTGTTCATATCAGTGCTTTATATGTGTACTCTAATATTTCTAAGCTCCAATCAACTGCAACGACATAAACAAAGCATGGAGACTTTGTCTCCCACGCCTTCACACTGAACCCAGAATCTGTCTGTTTTTTGCAAAAAGCCAAAAGATTTCAAAATAAATAAATAAACAGTTGCACCACAGCTTTATTTATTCAATACAAGGACAGTTATGAAGCATATTGTATACAAATGTTTGTCCCTGATGTCAGAATGAAACAAACACTATAAATCTGATCATTTAAACATAGTGTGAGATGAAACCGTGGTAGTCATTTCGTTATGTAAGAAAAGAAAATTACATTAAATTCCCTGGCAATTCTCTAATAATCTCTGTAATAATGCTGGAAACGTTTTACCAAACTTCAGTGCTTCAACGTGGAACCCGAAATTAAAAGAATGGTTGAAAAAAGATGGGACTAATAAAAGTAAGATCTACTTTTTCACAGAATCTCAAACGCGTTGATAGATATCTTGGGTCCCCTTTCCAGATTGGAATGCTGTTTTAGTTGATATCCAGCAGGTCAAAGGCCATAAGAGTCATGGGAGGTGGCTGGGGGGGGGTTCCATGCATACCCCAGAAAACAAAACAAAAAAATTGATTTAGATAAAGAAACTTGAAGTAAAACAGCTTTTTTCTTTTACTTTTTCACAGTAACTTCTCCTACATGTAACATGAAAAACAGATCTCCACGTGAGCCATGCAAATTTGCAGCAGATAAGATAAGACGTACTTTATTGATCCCTGAAGGGAGATTCATTGTCTTTTGTCATGCTGAAGAGGCCACACCATCAAAAGCTCACAAAAATGTTGAGCGACTGTTAAGCAAAACAGTGTGGTGTGAGGCTGGAGACCAACGTCGTAAAAAGGGACTTCTCAGTCTCCGTTAGGCCAGTTTCAGGCCCGGGAACATGACAACAAAAGGCAAGATGCTTCAAAATGAGGCACAGAGGTTTATTATTCGCACGCTTCTTCGTGTTTCTTTAAAAGCAAAACTATAGGAGAAGATCTAGAAAATGATGACAAAGACAAAAAAAGGCTTATGTGAGATGGTACAGAACCAAAATGTTGCAGAAAGTTGCCATGTACAGATAAAAAAAGGAATAATTATGTAATTACTGCTAAAAGATACAAAACAATCACAACCAAACTGTTAAAAAAAAGCTGGTGACCAAAGGGAGGTGCCCTGAACATGATACATTCAGATTACACAAGATATTGACACAAAAGCTAACACAAAATCATAAAAGAGACAGGCGGCAGGGGTAATGACAAATCTAAAAACTGCCAGCACAACAACACCAGTGTGGAAAAAATGCACAACAGATGCTAACCAGCCATGTATCTGTAACCCTCCATTGCCATCAGCTGTTTTTGCGAGCAAGCACTTCTTGCACAAGAAATGTGTTTTACGAATAAACGCCTTTTTGTGTTAAGTCTGATTCTCACATCGTCTGTAAAAACTGCTTAATCTCTCCCTTGACCTAATTGTCACCGTTCCGAACATAGACTTATGAGAGATATTGAAAGAAAAAAGCCCCTCTGCCAAGTTGTCTACAGGAAATCATGTTGTGGTTTGGGGTTGTTTCGTGTGTGCTTCACGTGAGAAACGAAGGGGGGGATGTTTCTGTCCTCCCACAAAAATAAAAAAAATAAAGAGAGACGTGTAGAGGCCGGCGGGTTATTGACAGAGAATATGTCTCGGGGAGAGATATATCTTTGAGGACATTTAGGTGGAAGTCAAATACAAACACGGAGGTGCACGCGCCCGTGCGCACGCGACCCTGAGCGCGCGCGGCTCTCAGCTCCATTCATTTCAGCTGCTGAGCGCTGCGTGCTCCCACTCCTCCACGTTGGGCTTTAAACCTGGACCATGAGGGGCTCCTGCCGCCCGAGAAACATGCGGGACAAGGCAGGTAGGGTGCCGCGCGGACCTCTCCTCAACCCCGTTTTTGTCTCCACAGGAACGGGTCTCTCTTTTGTTAACATTTAAAAAAAAAAAAAAAAGATTTTGAAGGCTCGTGCGGGTCGACGTTGTGTGTGCAGAGCACGAGAGCAGCTGGGTTAGCAGACGGAGGAAGTAAACAAGTCGGTCACGTAGGCTTGTTTCCAGAGCTTGACAGGAGATGAGGCGACTTACGGACCGAGAAACGAGTTCAGTTGTCGTCTATCGTCAACTGTGTTGTGAATAAATTGTTATTTTTGTTAACGGAAAGGCTGTGCTGTGTCCAGTGTGCTGCTTAGCCCGCCTGCAGAACAGCGAGTGTTGTGAGAGGGAATGGAAACTCTCCCCCAGAGCCAGCTATGCATTATGTAGATGTTAGTCTGCTCTTTGCCAAAAAAAAACATTACGTTTAGTAATCAACTGATTCAGCGTTCGATTGTTTTACATGGTTATTTGACAGTGTTATTGTCTGTGCTGCTCTTATTGAACCCATGTTATTATCAGGCAATAATGTGTGACGTGCCATCACGTCAGGGCTCTGTGACATAACCCAGAGATGGTCCTGTAGGGCATTGCAAGTGTAGGAAGAAAACCCATATTGGTTACCAGCTGCAGCTACACAGTGGTTTCTTAAAATAATGCTTGAATCTTTTTGTCTCATCAGAGCGATCATTCAGATGCTGAAGTTTAATGTCAGGGCGGACAAATGGTGTGGAAGTGGCAGCACAGCTCTGAGCGCCGGCTGGAAAGTGCCCTGTGTTGTTGTCCCAGTGTCCATTTGGGGTCCAAAATATAGCTCGAGCAGATGTTCCATTCTGTCAGGGGGGTCTAGGTCTCAACTTCCCACCCTGCTCACCTCTGCATTCTCCAAAATCCTGCACACGAGCCACCACGCAGGAGAAGGCATTATCTGCTGTGGGAATCGGAACCAGAGCTAACACCATGGCCCATATAATCCAGAGCCCTACTCATTATTAGAATAGCCTGTTATGTAATTTTGTGAGTCATGTATTCCGCAGACCTATTTAATACTACAATGCTGTGCTGTCATGTTTGTGAGCCGCACACAGAGAGAGGCAGACAAACTCTGGTCACAGTGGTTTAGAAGAGTGCAGCCCGAGCAGATGTACGGGGGATGAACACAGCTCAGGCTGTGCTGGTGAGTGGGAGAGGAGCTCTGTTGGCTGCCTGTCTGCCTGCCTGCGCAGCCTGAGAGGAGGGGCTAACCTGGAAAACATAATAGAGGGCTTTTTTTGTGTTGTGTTGTGCTGAGGCTGTTGTGTTTATTTTCAGTCAGCTGTTGAAGGTGTGAGCAGCTGCTTTGTTTCATAAGCCGCTCGCCGAGGTGACGGTCCACATATTGAGCTACTTTTGCTGTTTGCTGCTAAACAAATGCGATGGCCACTTTGCTCCTGTGTGTTTATAGCTGCAAGGGATGTGCCTCGGCGAGGGCTGCTCGTGATTGGACTGTCTCCACAATGGCTATATATCGTACAGGATTTGTACGGCCATGCCTGAGATGCTGCCCGCTGCCGCCAGGCTGCATCCCTCTTTCACAGCCCTTTTGTTTTCCCTTCCATAATCTGAGATTTTAGTTTTTCACCTTCGTGTTTCCCCCTCAGATTTCAGCTCTAAAAACCTCACGACAAATCACCCCCTCTAGTCCCCGCATGAAGAACTGCCATCTCTCCCACGGCTCCTCCCTCCCTGCCTGTGTCTGCTTTATCTGGGGGAAAGTTCACCCACTCATCCAGAATCACATTAGCGCTTGAGGGAGGGCTGCGCCGTGCTGTTGCAGTAACTGTTAAACAGCACGGAGCTCTGACACACGTTTTGCACGTTCGACTGTCAGAACAGGGGGGGGGGGGGTATTATTTTGATCAGCTGTTGAGCCCCTGCAGATGGACGGAGGCGTGTGTGAAATGGAGACCGCCTCTCTGTTATCATGTAACCATTATGAGCTGATTCTGGGTTGCACAGTGCTGCAAACAAACCCATGCTTTTTTTTTTAAAAGAGAGCTCAAATATACATGTTTTACCACTGACGAAGATGTGGTTTTATTTTACATCCAAGTAAATGTTTATTCTTTTTATTAACAGCTCCGGCAACCCTGTGTTGTGTAAATAAGCCATAAAAATAGAATATGATACCTATTGTAGAAATGATGCGTGTAGAGTTTGGAACATTGGAAACTTTTCAGTTTTTAAAAGCATCATTTTTATGCCAGTCAATATAGTTGACATGGAGGCCGGAAAATAAGCACTTCATGGTAAAAGAGAGTGCCAACCCCCCAATCGTGTATTGTCTGTTGTTGCACATTGAAAGCAGAGATGAAGGGAAGGCTTTACCGTTGTTTTTCCTGTCTGTCAGCATGGGAACTGATTGCGATGTAGCGCATGGACAGAGGCAGGAGACTAAGCCAGGCTCTGCATTGACCTTGGGATAAACGACCAGTTCTGGCTTAACTGGTTTGTTTTAGCTTCAAGCGCTGAAATGTTCTTGAACAGTGTGTATCTGTGTAACCCGTGTTTGGAGCAATATTTGAATGGGAGGGGACTTTTATTTAAACCGTATCTGGAAGAAAATAAATCATTATTCATTTGACACCAACAGGCCATAGGCAGAAGGCCAGGAGATCGATGACGTGTGTTAACCTATGTCCCTTTATCCACGAGGCCACCAATATCTTTATCGGAAAGCAAATACCAATTACAGATAATACAATATTCGGTTGCTCCGTCATTATTGTGTTGTTTTCAGGAACTTTGCTTTATTAGCAGCTGCTAATTATGTGAAGAGAGAGGTAGCTGATGGTGTGGCTGCAGTCTGTGCTGTATTTCTGTGTCCTAGGAATGCAAGGGACCATAAAGAAGGATTGATGGTTCTGTGAGGCTTGTTTTGCCCAAAGTGAGAGTTTCTGTTTACTGTCAGAGAGCAGCCCGAATGGAGGAGCACACCACTCTTTCTCTCTTTTTTGTCTGACCATATTCTGGTTTATATTCTCTATTGAAGACATAACTGGAGTTGTGTGTAAGCGGTGCCACAAAAGAACAAAAAACAACTCAATTTTCTTTTTTGCCTCTTTAATGTTGCTTTAATCACTTTTTAATCTTCTTCTCAGACACTTTATGCAACACACCATTGATGCTTTCACACTGATGTGCCCAACACTGGCTCCTATGTGAGCACACTTTCTGCCCCACAATGAAAACACAAGTAAACAAAGCAAGCTTATTACCACCGACCAGGCATCTTATTTTGGCCATTCAAATAGAGAAGCTAATATTCGTGTAGTTTTAGAGCCCATTCCTGATGAGTCATAGGTCACAAAATGGGGGATTACTCCACGTCCTCCATCTGTCCCGGCCTTGGCTTCCAAAGTTATGTTTTTAATGAGAAATGCACGTCACAGCCAAATTTGTAGCATGGTAATGTGAAGGAATCCAGCCACAGATTATGTTTAGAGAGCAGAGAACATCAGACCTGTAGCCACAATGGGATTACATCAAGCTATTTTTTGTTGTTTGACTATTTTGTGTTTGAAAGGCCACATCCATCTTTCCATTATGTGTTCCACTTATTCCTGGTGGCGGGGTGGAGCCTATCCCTGCTAAAATTGGGCAAGAGGCAGGGTAAACCCTGGACAGGTGGCCAGTCTATCACAGGGCTTAACAGGCACAGGACAACCTTCGACAAATTACCCATAAACACATTTTAACATTGCAAAAGACACATTTAACTGAAGGCAATTTTAGGTCAAAAAACGAGTGTAGAGGATTATTGTGATTATCTTCTGACGTGCTGACTGCCACCTGACAGTCACGACCTCTGGCCTCAATCTCTGTTACAATGCCGAATTGATCACACCATGGCTATTAGACTTGCCTCTAATAGTGAAGTTGTATGTTTTTTGTGTTACCTGTAAAATCACCTGTGTGGAGGAACAAACCCCCAAAGATCTAAAATATGAATAAAATGTATAAATGGTTCAAAGAACAAGTAAATGGAAATAAAATAAATTAGCAAACAATTGCTTCAAAGTAAGAAGAAGTGGAAATGCATACAGACATTGAACAAAAAAGATGCAAGTAAATTTGCTTGGAAAAGAGATAACAGAAATAACACTTCTGCATGTTGGATATGCAAATACATCTATGATTGATGTAACAAAAGATAGACATTTACTTGAAATATGTCAATTGTGAAAGAAGTTAATAATTAGAAGGGAACAAATGGAGCAAAATAAAAGAAATATTACAGAAATAGAAACCATTTAAAGATATATGTTTAGTGGAAAATTGAATGATAAAACAAGTAAATATTAAATTAACTAAAACGTATTTATTGCTCCATTTATATATGTATGTTTTACTCTACATTCACTCTGGATGATGGCAGTGTCAGGTCCCCAGACCAGTATGTCACAATGTTGTCTTTCTTACTGGTGTAAAATAGTGAGTAAATTGTGTCATCTAGTGTCACTAATGCAGCACTACATCTGGTCTGTGCAAAGTGAAGTGTTTTTCCTTGTGTGCTGGCTGCATGTGTGCTGCAGCCTTCTTCCTGAAGTCAGGATGTTTTCATTATACTTACACAGTTATGGCTTTACTTGGCCATCCACAGTCACGTGGGCTCAATGCTGGGAACATTTGTTTTTCTGGTGCATTAGAAAAATGTGTCCACTCTGCATTTGTCTTATATAATATTTTATTCTTTCAGCTAAAGACAACAGTAAATTTACCGAAGGCCACCACTCGGTGTAAGTTTAGTGAGCAGAGAGATGCTGACTAAATTCATTTTAGCATGCTGAAAAGTCAAATAAAATGTAATGGCAAACAGGAATAGCATCTGGTGTTTTAGTTGTCAGGTGGGCCAAATGTTATATTTGATGGTTACAACACGTTTTCATTACAAATTTAAATAATTAGAGTTTTAATGTAAGATTTCACACAAAAAAAAGGGAATTCCTCAGACATCTGCAGTATCTTAAGATTTTTTGTCCTCTCTTTCTAGATAGTAATTGCACATTAAAGAACAGCATGTTCCGTTTAACAGGACTGTCCACAAGTGTATCCAAAGTGCTGAACTTTTGCCATCAGTGCTTCGTGGGGTTTCAGCTCATGGGGGCCTCGTGACTGGGTCGTGCAAAACTTTAAAATCCAACTTTTCACGACGATGTGCATTTTTGTGTGCCTGCTTCTGCCTGCATGCCCTCCATTCTTCCGTCCCCCTCTCTGGTTGGCTGAGAGGCCTGTTATCTCTCTTGTGATTGGTTCATTTCTGAGCCGCATGCGCTGTCCATGTGTTCTCCATGTGAACAACAGCAAGCGTTTTCCTTGGCTTCTTGCTTTTTTCGTGCTCATTTAGCACGTAATTACGGTACGTTTATGTTCGGAGAAGAATTGTTGTTCTGAGATGTTTTGAGAAGGGGGATTTTGAGACATTTGATTTTAACATTTACAAACACACACAAACAAAAACAAAATTGTCAGAGACATTGCAAAACTTTGGAAACGCCAAAGATTGTGCAGAAAAACTGTCAACGATGCTATATTTGTTTTCATACAGTGCAAGGCATGCAAAGCTTGGGTTCACCCTGACGTAACACTTTCTATGCACATTGCTTATTTTAGATCACTTTGTCCCCCGTCATAATGTTTTTCTCCAAAACTATCGACCCTTCATTCTTCAAGTGCAATCGTGTCTTGAGTCTGTGGAGGTAAGAGCACGTCATAGAGTAAAAAACACAACGAAAACAACTTGTTACTGATCTGTATATCAAACATTAAATAAGCAAAGTGATGTTTAAAAAAACATCTCCCTAAAACGTAAAGCACATTCTCTTGCGCTAACTTTCCAGTGGTTACGGTAACGAGAAACTGCTGTTCCTCAGCTGATACGCGGCATCCTCCCCCTATGCAGCCTCCTCAATCAGATTGCGAGGGCTAAGCCCACCGCTTCAGTTTGCCGTCTGGAAGGTGAGCGTCAATGACCTAGAGTGCACGATGTTAGACAACGAAGAGCTGGTCCTGGAGCCTCAACCGCGGGAGCTCACCCAGAACCCGCTCCGGAAGATCTGGCTGCCCCACAAAAGCGCCCACATAGCTCACAGACGGGGTAAGATGCAGCCCACCGACCAGTGCACCGGGAATATCAACGGGACACGGTGTAGACCGTGTCCTTGTACACGTTTATTTTTTTAAAATCACAGCATGCGTAGGCGCGTGTTAATGCATTCATTAGAAGTCGTATTATTAGATGTGACGTTATTGTTAAACACACGGAGATTTCTCCTGTTTGCGTCCGGCGGTGTTGCGTCATCCGGTGCCTGTCTGGTCCTTGTTTACATCAGTAACACTTGGAAGCTCGGGAAGTTTGCAGTCTCGCCAGGGGAAATAATTACACACACGTGGCTGGGTAAAATGAATTTTCCCTGGAACTAGACCTGTGTGCGAACCAGCTGCTCCTTTATCTCTGGCTGGCTCTTTGCAGTTCTGCTCGTTTCCGCTGAGTCAACTAGCTTTCTTCTGCTTATTTATTTCTTTTGAACTAGATACAACATGTCCTGTCTTGTACCTGGCACTGAACGTTGTAAACCCTCCTATCTTTTGGGACAAAAACACCCCGTGCGAGCCTGAGTCTAAACCTCTTGTGCCACGCAGGGTCCTCTCCGATGTAAACAATGTAGCTCCTTTTGTTCAGGCAGGGACTTGGCCCCCTCACTCATTTACAGTGTAGGAATAGTTGTACTCGGTTAGAATTAATATATCCTGTTCTTATGTTGTAGCAGATTTAGAAAGAGTAGCTTTTGTGATTCGCTGTGGATATCATCATGCATTTGAAATGACCAGTGAGTTACCACAACACGAAAATTACCATAAAAAGCCACAAAGAGAGGCTTTTAGTGGACACCCAGTAAAAGTGCAGAGCCCTGCTCTGTCCTGTCGTTAATGAGCTTGTGTGTCTTGTTTGCTTTTTAAGAGCCTGGACAGGAGACCTGGATGTGCTTTTCTGCTTTACATGTTGCTATGATTTCCTCATGTTTTTCACTCCTCAGATTGGATATTTCCGAGTCTTAATTATTTTAGGTTATGTTTTTTTCCCATTCTCACCCCTGCTCTGCAGCTCCGTGTGTCCCCAAACTTGTGAGAAATTGTGCTCAATCCAAATGTGAAAAGTTCTTTAATCCAAGTAAGATTTTGCGTTTCTTTGTTTCTCCATTTTGTCCAACAGTGTGTACGACAAACTGCCCAACGCTCATTGTGACGGTAGGACTTCCTGCCAGAGGGAAAACATACATTTCCAAGAAGCTAACTCGCTACTTGAACTGGATAGGGGTGCCAACCAAAGGTATGAGCCATGTCCACGCCGGATAGCTGCATGTCTAAGGTGCAAACCAGCCCTTAAATCAAACTTTCCTTTAATTTTTAATAGAGTTCAATGTTGGCGACTACCGGAGGGAGTGCCTGAAGATCTACAAGTCCTTTGAGTTTTTCCGTCCTGATAACGAAGAAGGCGTAAAAATCAGACGGTGAGTCTCCACCGAATTTTCTGGGGGTCAGTCCGTGTCGTAAAACCAGCCGTCTGCAGCCATCAGGCTCTGATAAGCTCTCCTAACCAAAAAAGAAGCAAGAGGACGGGAGAGGTCTTGTGTTTAATTACCTGCTACGGCAATCAAAAGAGCAGAGCTCATCATAAATAGGAGCTGATGTAATGTCCCTGCTCTGTGTGAACGTACAGCTCTCAGCACAAAGTGAACACACTTGTTTCCCTCCACAGCCAGTGCGCCACGTCGGCCCTCAATGATGTCCGGCAGTACCTGTGTGTGGAAGGAGGACATGTGGCTGTGAGTGCTTTTCAGCAGGCCTGCTTGCAAAGTGGTCAAATGGCACATTCAATTTGTCTGGGCTAATAAGAAGTGTGTTCCATGCTGTTCCAGGTGTTCGACGCCACCAACACGACGAGGGAAAGGAGGGGAACCATCATGAAGTTTGCAGAGCAGAATGGATTCAGAGTATGATAGAATATACAGAATTTAAGCCCATCCTGAACTTGGCTCAATTAACTCCAAGTTTATTGAAGGTGTTTTTTATTGTCACCTCAGGTGTTTTTTGTGGAGTCTGTGTGTGAGGACCCAGACGTCGTTGCACAAAACATTGTGGTAGGACTCTTTTTTTTATTCAAGTGTGATTTAAAAAAAACCAGCACACTTCACATTACGTTTTTGCCTTATTTTCATTTACTCTCGTTAATTATCATTTCAAACAAGAAACTAGCTGTTAGAATCGCTCCATCTCAATAAAGAAAGAAGCTCTTGTTTAGATTGAACTGCACGCAGCATTAGATATACCACAGGTCAGACAGTTGACGTTCACTGATATTTTCCTCTGTTTATATCCTTTCCCTGTTTTCCTCTCTTTTGAAGCAAGTCAAACTGGAGAACCCAGACTACATTCACTGCAACTCCGATGAAGCCATTGAAGACTTCATGAACAGAATAAAGTGTTACGAGTCCTCCTATCAGCCTCTGGACGAGGTTCTAGACAGGTGAGAGCTCATGGAAACCAGCCGGTCATGAGAGCAGCTCCTGAAATGCCAAATGTGTCTTAACGCCGCGTCCGTCTGCAGGGACGTGTCCTACATAAAGATCATGGACGTGGGCCGTCGTTACCTGGTGAATCGGGTGGTGGACCACATCCAAAGTCGAATAGTCTACTACCTGATGAACATCCACATCACCCCGCGCTCCATCTACCTGTGTCGCCATGGTGAGAGCGACCTCAATATCAAGGGACGCATCGGGGGCGACTCTGGCCTGTCTGCCAGAGGAAAGGAGGTCTGTATCTTTACCATGAGCCAGTTCCTCAGTAGAGGTTTTTAATCGCCGCTCGCATTTCAAGTATGATTCTGAAACGCTGTCTTAAACCCTAGTATGCCCAAAGACTGAGGAATTTCATCGAGGAACAGAAGATTAAAGACCTGAAAGTCTGGACCAGCCAGATGAAGAGAACCATCCAGACAGCAGAGTGCCTTGGGGTGCCCTACGAGCAGTGGAAAGCTCTCAACGAGATCGATGCCGTACGTGGGCGCCCGCTGCCACCAGTTCTAAAAGCACAAGTCTGACATCTTAAGCGAACCCTCTCTCTTCTCTTTACCCAGGGCGTGTGTGAAGAAATGATGTACGAGGAGATCCAGGAGCATTTCCCCCTGGAGTTTGCCATGAGAGACCAAGACAAATACCGCTACCGCTACCCTAAAGGAGAGGTAACCAAACGCTGGTCGGGGATCAGAGGGCTTTGGAGGTTGTTTTCGGGGGGTGTCTGATGGCTGTGGGCTTCCCTTCCAGTCGTATGAAGACCTGGTGCAGCGGCTGGAGCCGGTGATCATGGAGCTTGAGAGACAAGAGAACGTCCTGGTCATCTGTCACCAGGCCGTCATGCGATGTCTTCTTGCGTACTTCCTGGACAAGACTGCACGTAAGAGCAAATTCACACCGGACGTTTTCCATTCTAGTTATGAATCAGTTTTGTGGTATTCCTCAACTGTGCTGCAGGGCCTTTAGACTTTGTGTCTGTCCTCCACAGATGAGCTGCCTTATCTGAAGTGCCCTTTGCACACCGTGTTGAAATTGACCCCCGTGGCCTATGGTGAGCCTCCTACCGCTTAGGGAATATGCCGTCATCATTTTGGTTGCAACCTTTGGACAAATGTCCCCACAGGGATCGTTTAAGGCCGTTGCCCCATTGCCTCTCGATGATTCCACTTTTGTTTGCTCTTCCTCAGGCTGTAAAGTGGAGTCTGTGTATCTGCGTGTGGATGCTGTGAACACGCACAGAGACAGGCCAGAGGTTAGTATCGCAGGCAGCACACACAGAAGCCCCTGAGCTCACTGTGTTGTCAGCCTCACTTCATCTGTGACCCACATCTCAAGCAGAATCCCTAACAGAGGCCTTGTGTGGAAAGAGACATTGACTTTGGCTCATGAGGTCTTTAGAGGCTCATCACGTCCCTCTGACGCTCCATTACAAAGATGTCAGTGCTGAGCATTATTTTTCTTATCACTGTGAGACAAGAAAAACTGTCAGCACTGACCTGCTTTTTTTTCCGTTTTCAATCCATGGATTTCATTTTCAAGACAAACAACTCAGACTTCGGAAACAGTCTGCCACCTGCTTAGGACAAATAGCTTTTAGATATAAAATGGACTTTGAGGTCCACTGGTTAGATTAGATTAGAACCAACTTTGTCATTACACATGCAAAGCGCAACAAAATGCAGTCTAGCATCTAACCAGATGTGCAGTAAGCAGCAGCTGCATGCAGCATAACTAGTGTGTTACGTAGAGATTTGTTTTCATAGCATACAGACAGTATTCGCAGATGAATGAATATGTATGTGTGTGTGTGTTTGCACATTTTGTTGTTACCATCAGAAAAAGGATATGTACTCAGACATGAACACAATTGTGTGTGTGTGTGTGTAAGGTTCCAGTTCAGCAGAAAAGGGGATAATTTAGAAAATAGAACAAACTTACTTTAAAATAACATGTTGAAACTTTCTATTTTTCATAGTTAAATATGTATTTAAATAAGCCATATTTATACCCATTATGAGGTTGTATTGAGTTTTTGTCTGAGTGCAATCCTGACGCACTTTAAAATGAACTTAACATTTATTAGCTTTTGGCACGTGCACAGATGCACAGTTTCACTTTCTGTAGAGTATTTACTCTGCGCCTCTGCTGGCGTCTTTTTGTAACTTTTTAGAGTTTTATATACAATATTTACCTGTAAGATGAATCACTTGGTCTTGTATAAAACACGTCTGGTCTTTTTCAATGAGATGAAATGTGTTGAGTTTGTAGAGGCCGGTGCTTTATAAACCTGAACAAATAAATGAAGCTATTTTCTCAAATATCATTGCCCACAGTGATTTAATAAAAAAAAAAAAAAATTTTTAACAGAAGTTTTTTAAAATTGTTCTGAAAAAGTGCTTTTAAACAGAGTTCTTCATCTTTTGTCTTGTCCTGTTGTTTCAGAATGTGAATGTGCAGCGCAGCACAGAAGATGCTCTGCAGACGGTCCCGGCTCATCACTAAATGTGCACTTCCTGTTCCTGCTGAGACCTCATGTGACTCACAGTTCAGACCCCTGAACACCATGTGAACGGTGCTGTTCTGCCACCCTCAATGGCAGCTTTTTAACAGATACATCCTCCTGGAACATTGTCGTAAACCTTTTTGAATTTTAATGTAGCTTGACATTAAGTGGGTAAAACTAAAGACAAATGCCAGTATTAATGAGTAGATCCACTGTTTCCGGTGCGATGATAATCGTAATGTTCAGCAACCACTTCCATGATAATACTTAGTGTACGTCATGCCGATTACTGTATATACTGCCATATGCTTCCATTGTTTTACGGAAGTTGTTTTTAATGTGAATCCAGGAAGAGAAAAAAAATCAGATGCTTTCTTTACAAATGAATGTTCATGTTTTGTTTGAACCATGTTTTCTTTTTCATGTTTTTTTTTATATATATAGATATCTATATATATGATAAAAGTTAGTGCATCAACAATTAACAAAGATTCATGTAAATCCTAAACATTCCAGTGAAGAAACTGACAAATACACTATGGAGGAGTGAAATTACTTTGTAAACAGATGTGAAACTTGTGATTAAAACATTGTTTTCAGTACTGTAATCCACAATGTGACAAATGCAGGCCAGCTGAGTAAAGCTTTTAAGGATGCCGCTGTGCATAACCATTGCAAGAAAAGCTTTGACAAATCTACCTTTGTTTTTTGTTGTTGATCATTTCATTTGCCACAAAAACTATTTGTTTTTTTCGGGGTAGTGTGAAAAGAGGAACTGTGCAAACTTTAATGACACATTTCATGTGTGTAAAACAACCTGTGCTACCCTGTTTTGGGAAGATAGAAGTCTACATTGTATGTACCTCAAATTCATCATGTCTCATCTGTTTCCAGTTGTGGAAGTCTAATAAAGGTTCATTATGTGTGGGAAACAAAAATGTGTCCTCTGCATTTTAAAGCATAACAGATAAAATACAAATAATACAATGTCTTTTATTAATTTAATTGCCAGCAAGTATACAGATTTTTAATTTGTTTACTACAACAAGAAACCATAATTGATTGCCTTCAGTTTAATATTTGTGGTAATAAAACATAGCAAAACATCATTTATATCCTAGTATCTGTTCATACACACATATTTAAAAACATTTAAATTATCTGGAAAAAAACAGTAAAAAATGAAAACAAGTTTTCAATTTTTACCTGTGCTGAATAAGAATGACATATCTAAGGACCTGCCCCGACCTCTAATGTTCAAAAGGCAGTTTTTAATATCTGGTGTGAATATTCATTCCATACAAACAATATTTTGGGGACAGTAAGATTTTCAGGTGGAAGGGTAGAACCCTGTTGGCCTGCACGGTCTTAGTGTACATCCCGTGTTTCTTTACGTCTGTACACATGTTTATGGTATTCTGCCCCGCGATGTCAAATCTCCACAGTGATGGCCAAGATTGCAAAAGGAGTGTGTTCCAGGTTTCCTCTGTCTCAGAACTGCCAGAATAAAAGATACAGAAGCACAATGAGGAAAAACATAACCTGATCATAACACTTAATATTTCTGATATCAAATGACACCGAATAGAAGAATATCTTGTCCTAAAATAAAAACTGGCCATCGCTTCTTTTAGCACACAAAAGGTTTCACTCACATTTTTGAGGAACTCCTCAGCAACTATTCGAGCCCTGGCATTGACAGACAGCTTCATTTCACTGATCTCCTTGTCAATTTCCTCCATGAAATGAATGACAAAATCCACTAGTTTATGCTTGTACATCTGCTCTGTGTGAAAGTTGGTGATGAGGAAGCTGATGTCATAGCCCTGTGGAAGTGTTGAGACAATCACATGTTGAACTTAGCATTGACAAATTATAGAAACTTTTAATTAGAGTTTATGCAATGCTAATTAATCCAAAGGTAATGTGGCAAAAGAAATCAGCAGATTTCATCAAAACTTTAGTCTCCTGTCCTTAGCATGCATAAGGTGACAGTGAAAAAACAGCAACTTCATTTTAACAGGAAGACACACTGCCAGAATGAGGGCTGGGCTTGAGGAGATATCAGGAGTCAGCATTTTTTCTTTTTTAATTGGTGCCTTAAGGCCATTTAAGGAGTTCACAGGAGTGTCAGGGCACTGACCAACTCTTTACTCCAGAGCTTTTGCAGATGATTCAGCCGTTTCAGGCTATTTTGAAGATGATCTTTCACTGAATAAATTGTGGAACCAGCTTATTTTCCAATGACACTTACCTCCACTGGCTTTCTCCTCAGGATAAAGAAGTTTTCTGCCCTCATCATCATGAAACGCATGAATTTATGGCAGAGAATCTTCTCAATCTCATCAGCCTAAAGCAGCAAATGGATAAACAGGGAAATCAGGGATTAGTTTTCTTGGTTTTACATTAGTGGCAATTACTAACAGCCGTTGAGCCGCCAAACTTTTCACAAACATTCCAGTAATCACGCCTTAATGGCACAAATGACCTCATCATTTAGCTGCCAGTGTTGCCCTTTGATGGGTCAGACGGAGGCTGTCCAGTGGCGCGTTAGATTGTCCTGACAAAGAGTCAGGCATGTCACTGTAGATAAGCTTCAGCTCACGCAGGACATTCGTATGCATTGGATGCGCATCCGTTTTTGTGTGAAAAGGGCAGTCCCATCAGGACAGGAAAGTGACTGACCTGCTTGACAGCAATGCTGACTCTGACCGAGTTAATGGAGCCCTCGATCAGAACCTTTTCCTTCTCATTACGGCTGATGATCACAGGTTGGAGGAGCAGCTCTTTACTGCTTCTGGACACGAGAAGGCACACACACAGTTAACATGCCATCACACTATCAGCAGACCGGCACGAAGAGGGTAAACTTCAAACTGCTGTCACGGTTATGGTACTTGGCTCACCTGACTTCCACTTCTGGCTTGTTGTGTCTTTCCACCACTTGTGAGGAGAAATTCTCCAAGCAGAGAGCGGCCTGCAGCGTTGCACGCACAGCATTGAGATACGGACGCAATGTTGCCGTCTGTGGATTAGAGCAGATGAAAAGAACTGATAATGTCTGCATTGTCTGCAAATACTCCCATGCAAAACAGAGGCCATGTGATTTCAGGAAGTACACCATCCATAAAAATAAAAAAGTCAACCCAGAGAGAACAACTGGTCGTATGAAAATAGCACCACCTTCAGAGAGCAGCCAGGCATCTATAAACAGCTGGGTGACAAATTCCGTGTTTTTCAAGGTACTGGCTTTGCGTGAACAGTAAGAGTTTAAACACTCAGCACTAATTATTTTCTTTTCTAGATGCTGTACTTAGAGAATAAAACAGCTGTAGTGTAAAATACAGCCCCTTATAAGATTGCTCTGTGGAGGACTGTGGGTTATTCTTGAATAGCTTTTCAATTAAATTGGAGTGAAGTGACTGCAAGCTGTTCCACACTCATCACTCCATGTCCAACCCTAACCCACATCAAAGTGACCTCTCCCATCAGGATAGAAATCTTAAAGCAGAGGCAAACGCCGATCCATAAAAGCAGCTCTGACAGATTTGTAGAGTCGGCTTCCTCAGGGGAGAAATATGTTGCAAACCTGTCAGTAAAAAAAGCTACATGCACATCCTCTCATTGTAGGATGAAAAGGTTCAGTTTTTCCCCTAATGCTCTTCTTAAGGATACCACAGAGGCATGATGGAAACACTTTGATTTAGAGAGATGCCATTACGTTATTTGTCCAACAGAGAGCACTGACATGCAGATTTATTTATTACACTGGAGTGCACACTCAGTACAATATATTTCTGGGAACCTTTCCATCCATCCATTTTCTATAGTGCTTATTCCCAACGGGGTTGCAGTGGGGGGGGGGGGGGCAGGAGCCTGTCCCAGCTGACAGGATTAACGTGAGCTGACATTATTTACAATTTCTGACTTAAGTGGAGACTAGGAGAGAACATGTAGAAAATGTGATGTCTTTATCTATAAATATTAGAAGAATTAAGCGATGTTAGTTTTTATTAGGACCCTCAAAGCCACCACAGAGGGTTTAGAGCCGTTGCAGCTGGGGTCTCATCATCTTCGTCAACTCAGCAGAGTTTATGAGATGCAACCTTCCTTTTGCATTTGAAGCCCCAGGTTTGGCAGCAAATCACGACCATATCAACGCTCAATCACCCGACATGTAGGATAAACATGAGTTTAAGGACCAACGAAAGATGACCGAAGGTCTTTTTACCTCCATTTTACATTTAAAAAAGCGACCAGTTACAATTAGCTTGTGAGCTAATAGCTTCCTCAAATATGACCCGTAAAAAAAAGAAAATGCCTTCACAAATGTAGCTTCAATAAATGTACTATAGTAACTATATACCGACACTTTTAATACATTCCACCGCTAAACTGTGGTGTTCTATTTGAATATGTTTGTTTTTTCTCTTACCATGTCTGAGTATCAGGAGAAGAGGCTAAAGGCGGAAGTAGCTGCTCTTTGCGTTTTCCGCGAGCACACCGGAAATGAGCAGCGGTCACTAAATCGCTGTGCACAGCTGTGAGCAGAGGAACGTTATATATGTGATCTTGTTCTGTATTTTACACTAATGACAAAGTTTTCGTTTCCCCCTCTGACGGTATCTGGCCAATACAAACGAATAACTGCTGACATTTCTGGATTCTGTTAAGGGGAGCAAAAGCAAAGTTGTATCTTCAAAGGGAAACCTGTATAGTCTGTACTTTTATTGCGTTTTAAAGTCTGGTTCTTATTTCCTTTATTTAAAATAATGTCATTCACAACCATGTAGTTGCAGTGAAAAAAGATGAACACTGGGTACAAGAGATGTATACTGGATTATAAACTCTGTATTTGACATTTGACTGTGGTAAATACTTTAGAATAGTTATGAAAGTAAAATAATTCTGTTTATTATTTTTTGAGCAGATGTAATAGTTAAAGAGTCTAGGTGCACCGGCGTAAATACATATTTACGAGCAGAACTAGACAAAATCTAATTAAGTTGTTAACATAGTAGTGTACATGATATTCAGAATCATTTGACTATGATGCTACCCTTTAATATTTGCTTTAGAAAAAAATGTGAAGAGGTCAACATGCCAAAACCCCAGCCCCAAAAATATTTTTAAAAATTGAGATCACGAGTATTATCTTGGGCTCACTAGTCAAAAGTACTTTATGAAACAGCTTCATAGTCCCAAGGAGGAAGAATAGTTTTTTTTAAGTTATAACAATTGTCAAATAAAAAAATTCCACTTCAAAACAGGTCACCTGGATACAATAATAAAAGGCAAATAAATGAATCATTAAAAGAAGTTGAATTAAACAAACAAAACTCAATATATTCAAGGATTTTATTATTCGATGTTCAAATTTTCTTTAACAACATCATTGGCATTGTAGTAATGTTTTCTGTAAGGAGGAATAATACCAGGGCAAATAGTTGAATATTTTCTTTACATGTAAAGAGAAAACATTAATTTCAGTTCTATCATTTGCCATCTATACACCGTAGTACACAATCCATTAAAAATATTAAGTACTGAGCCAACCTGAGCTACAAGCAGATAGATAGAACAGCTATAAAGAAGACATGACAGAAGACAGGTGTAAGGGACGTTGGTGAAGCATATTGTAATTCTCACGCACCGAGAGATGCCAGATGAGGGATGCAACACATACAGCAGAAATCGTAGCAGTACAAGTAATGTTACATTAAGGGCTAAATTAACATATAAATGAATCAATATTCTATGTTGTGACTGCCTATCAGCTTTTATTAATATCTGCACTGTGGCATGAGGCAGTTATAAACCCTATTCCTGAAGGGCAGAGGCAATACAATCACCGAAAGTCTGTGTCCAAAAGATTTTTGGGAGATATTTGAAGGGGAAATACAGCAACAGGTGTAAATTGAAGCTTAGCAAAAAGGCTTGTGGTAGAAGAAGTTGCCCAAAATCAGCCATCCCTCTATAATATTTAAAGGCAAAAACAAGAAAAGTGCAAAAACAAGTATGTGTTTAACATTGGCTTAAAAGGCCAATAATAGAAGAAAAAAAACATGTCCTTCTACTAGATTAAATCTCAACAAAAAAGCAAAGGAAAGCAAACAGTGAAAATAAGAAACTTGGGACGCTGACATTAGCCAACATCATCTCACATTACAGAGGATCAGCCAGTCCATCAAGAGTCATCGACTGCACTCTCTGAACATGGCTCCATCGTGTCCTCAGTGTGAGTCAGGAGCAACACCCATCAAAGAAGGGGCAGGACAGGAGTTGACTCGCTGCCACCTCGGGGACCGAGGTCAGAGGGGATGTCGTTCTTCTCTCATGTGATCTTTGGGCACTGGATTTGTCATCATATCATACAAGAGCACGCTAGTGTATTACTCTGTGTACTAAGTGGGAGGAAATACATCCATATGCAGCGCAATGCGTGGTAGGGGGAGGTGTCAATGGAATGAACAGTGGTGTGGAGGAGGAAGACCAATAGGGAAGTCATTTCCCTGGGAGTGAGGTGGAGATGATGTAACAGGGTGATGACAGGGTGTTTCAGAAAGCCAAGAGAGAAGATGGTCCAAGTTGTTCCTCAGCAGCTGCAGCTTTCTGCAGAAGGCTTCGCTCTGTCATTCCTATCCAGCTTTATGGGCTCTGGGAATTCATTATACAGCTCCACCTCTGTCTCCTGTCAAGCATCCAGAGAACAACCAGCATCATGTCAATACACCATCACAGCTCATTCATCCTTTATAACACAGCAATATATCCTGAAATGAGAGCTCATTAATCCGCGGTTAGCTTCAGTGTGACTCACCTGTTTGAGGGCGTTACGTGCAATTGTCTGGAATGCCTGTTCTACATTTATGGCTTCTTTGGCACTGGTCTCAAAGTATGGGATGTTGTTCTTACTCTGACACCACGCCTGAGCCCGCTTGGTGGTCACCTGATGTTTAAACAGGGGAAATTCATCCACAGTGTTTATGATGGTGGTTTCCAAATGACATATTGTTTCAACAGCACAGGGAATGTTATAATCATGCAATGATTGCTGTCTTCTTTAGGCTAATTTTAAAGCTATTTATAAAAAGCTGTGATGCACATAGGTGGCCATAAGTCTTAAATACTTTAAAAACATGCTACAAATAATAATACAATTATTCATTTGTTAAAGTAAGAAACAAGTGAGTTACTACAACTATGGTGAATTTTCCTTGTCTATGAAATCTGAATAACATTTAGGACATTGGACATGTCCTTTGTTTCGGGTATCTGGGGCTGGTCACTACCTGTCTATTTTCCAAGTCAATCTTGTTGCCTAGGACCACAAAGGGGAAGTTCTCAGGATCTCGAGGGCTGGCCTGGATTAGAAACTCATCCCTCCAGCTATCGAGTGTCTTGAAGGTGTTTGGTGCAGTTACATCAAACACCAGCACACAGCAGTCTGCTCCACGGTAAAACGCAACACCCAAAGACTGGAACCTCTCCTGGCCTGCTGTGTCCCAGATCTTGACAAATCAATAAGAAAAAAGAAGAAAAAAGGTTTAGGACAACAGAATAGGAGAAAATAAAAAATGTTTAAGAGAAAATCCACTCTAAAAACAAAACAATTGAATGGTGTGAATGCTGCTATAGTTACAAGTATCATTCCTTCTCATGACAAGAAATGGTCCAGATGTCAGCATACCTGCATTGTGACAAGCCGGTCGTCCACCATCACTTCCTTGGTCAGGAAGTCTGCTCCTATTGTTGCTTTGTATTGATTGCTAAATTTTTTGTTCACATACTGATTCATTAGGGAGGTTTTTCCAACCCTGAAGAGACAACAAATACCAGGAAAGTATAAATGAACAAACCCAGTATCTCATAACAGTGAGATATAATAATCATAATAATAAATTAATGACCCGAAACTAACAGAATTCTATGGTTGTTTCTGACCCTGCTGTTTTCTGCCATCACATTGTGCTCTGCACATCACAGGTGGTTTTCAGCTAGGGATGCTCAGGAGAGCGTGTTTTTGAGTTTTCAAGAGGCAGCATTTGAAGCAAAAGGTCTACTGTGTTTTCATCACATCATGACAATGATAAATTAGGCTTTTAATGGCTTCTGTACATGTTCACCACGGTGGGGAGGGGGAGCAAAAAACAAACCTACCCAGCAGTGGCAAATTCTCATGAATATTAGCTTAAGTCTTTACACAAATTTTTTTGCCACGACGTGGGACATTTTTTAACTATATCTTGGTGAAAATTGCTAATAAAACAAAAATTAAATCAAATTGAGAACCTAAGCCTCTATTATGAAAGCTGTTTAAATCAAACTACCACATGAAGTTTGAGTGAGCTTTTGAAATTTTGCTCCTTGAAAATGCACCTCAGGAAGCTTTCATTACCTCAGTCTGAATAAACTGAGGTACTATAAATAGCCTCTTCAAAATAAACTGTTAATGCTGTAACAGATTAAAAAACCATAAACCAGGAGAGGAACCCATAGAAAAATACGAAACGTTGGGTATATGACTAAAGGTCAGTCATTCTGGCGATGTCCGAACTGACTGGCAGTAGAGGCTTTTATGTTAACATAAACAACAGTAAAGCTACAAACTCTGATTTTTTTTTTTAAAGGTGATGTTGTCATAAAAAGTTAGAGTATATCCACAAAAATGCTCATCATCAGACAACAGATGGAATCATAACCAAATAAAGATGATTCAAGATTTTCAGATGGATAAGTCAAAGTGGCTTTGGAAAAAGCTACATGGTCCTTTCTCTTCACACTGTCCATCTGTGCGCTCATTAATTATTCATCATAATTATTACTCTTGACTATTCTCATTCTTGAGACTTCTACTGAACCTTTTGAAGTGCAGTGCTGCACACTTTTAAAGTGACTGTGGCATGGATCTCGCAAATTCTACTTTTCTCTGACATACGGAGATACTTTTATGTTTATTAAATGTAGTTTCAATCTAGTCTATAAGATGAATGAGAAACTGAGAAAAGCTTAGTTCCATTTGAGTCTTGTAAATAATTGTGTTTTAGTTTCTATATACAGTATGGCAAAGTAATAAAAACACTGTGCAAGACAGAGAAAACAACATAAGGGCAGAGGCTGAACCCTCATCAGCTTAGAGCAGTCTGAGGCAGAGCGTTTAGTCTGCCTGGAGACAGCTTATGGCACACGAACTGCCAACAAGGAAATAACACAGAAAAATACACGCAATGCCTAGGGCTAATTTTACTTGTAGTTTTTCCCCCAACAAATTTTTTTTAGAACAGTAATGATAACTTCAACACTTTCCATTGGATTTGACGAGTGAAAGAAAAATGTGTCAGATTGTGACTCACCCCGAATCACCCAGAATGATGACTTTCAAGAGTACTTTCTTTCTGGATGTCATACTTGATCAGCTGTAGAAACAAAACCATATAAGTTTAGACTTTTAGTGTTTTTCTAACCGCGCCACAGAAAATAAACAATCTAATCTTACATTACTTCAGTTCAGGGACAATAAAATTGACAGAAAAATGCATAAGATCTGATACACACCAGCCTATTGGAACATGTGTGTTGGGTTTCATGGTTCTACACCAATGAGGCTTGAATGTTACTCATTCTAGTCATGTGCTTTCTAAGCTGTTAGGAAAATCACGAGGAGCACATCATTCCCTCCCTCATCTACACACACTCTGCAGAAACTCTTTTTTATAGGCTCACTCTCTTGCTAAGATTAATGTAATGCCACTAAAAGGTTAATGAACACTATCAAAACATATTCTGGAATGTTTTCACTAACTACTACTAATAAATTACCAATAGATTTTGCCCAAACTTTGGTTTATTGAATAAAGAGTACACATGTTCATTTTATGACTGATCAGTTGTGAAAATATAGAAGTACACAATACTTCCAGGAAATGTTCAGTCTGTATAATTGTGAAATTTCTGAACACCCATGAGCACAACTATTTAATAATAATATATTTTACATTCTATATGGAATAAGATCTTTAAAACTATTTCACAATAGGTAAACTACAATACATCCCAGACTTAATATGCACAGCCTGCTTTTCATAGACACTTAGAAAAAAACAAAAATGGCCCATCAAAAATTCCAGTTTGCCAGTACACATTTGTGAACACATATAGTGTGCTTTTAAGATTGAAACTTTGAAAATGTAAAGCAGAGGAATCCACTCCAGTCCTGAAGGATTATCAGTAAACCACTTTCGAGAACAAATATGCTTGACAAACTAAATAAGAAGTGGTTTCACAAGAGCTGCTCTATCTTTCCTCATGCTGCTGTCTTATTTGTGCCATGTACACAGTCACTGCAACTCAGGAATTCTACTGTAAGAATTAACACTGTGTGGGAATGGCAGTAGGAGTACCTGTCTGCCAATACCAAAAATAATAATAAATATATACCGCTAGTAGATTTCAGAGTAAGTCATGGGTATACATGCAACAAACATTTTTTAATTCAATTTCCCGACCACAAGAACAAGTCTTAAATGCAAAATTTGAAAGAAATAAACCAACCCAAACAGGATTTTTTTTAAATCCAAAAATCCCAACACAGGTATAAAAAAATAACAATTTATGATTCACCAGATGCACAGAGAAATAACTCACTAATGATAATGATCCAGTTAACTACCCCCACAAACACACAAACCCTTAGACTACCACGAAGAGCTGTGCACTTGCATTCTAACCCACTACAACAGACATGGCACTTCAGTGACAACAGCACTGTGAAGAACAGAAGAGCTGACAGAGGCATGAACAGCTGCTCACTGTAGGCTAGGTGAGCAACAACCACAGTCACATGATTAAACAAAGAATCTGACACCAGATATTTGAACCTTTGTTACAAAGTGAAACAAAAAATACTTTGTCAGTTGTGGAAGGTTTATATAGAATAAGTCAGACACATTTTGTTAACACTCACAATCTACATAAACGATGTAAGGAAATCATACTAAAATTGTGGACATTAAATAATTTGTTTCTCAAGTTATATGTTATCCATTATTCAGTTATTGAAAAGAAAACAAGTCAAAACAAGAAAATGTTGTGGGCAAAATGAAAGTTCACTGCCATTAACATCATCCAAGTGTGTCTTGATTATAATAAACTGAACCAGTGGATGTTACATAAACAGTTCACGGATTTCTATTGAGAAATGTGTGTTGAAAAGTCTCACATGCCTGACTTCCGAGAACGTCCTACCAAAAATTCCCCTTTGCCCGGACATACTGGGAAAGGCAGCAAAAAAAGAACTTCTGATATGGATCATGAATTCACAACAGACGGAAACTCAACTAAATATAAGATTGGAAGATGGAGCTCAGATGCTTCTCACTGCTTAGCCCATCTGATGATATAATTCAGGTAATTTCAATGTTCTCTAGTTAACCAAATCACAAATTGCAGAGGACCCTGTAATAATTTTTGAAAAATGAAGAGTTTTGAGCAACTTTTCCCTGAAGTGCCTTTATAAGCCATTAAAGTTTTTTACAAAAGCATGATGCCATCACTACACATTTAGATTTTCTCTATCAAACACAGATATTGAACTGCAAGACCATATTAAACAAGTAAACACAAATTATGATTTGCTTGAGTTGAGCTTAACACAACTGTATTAAAAGAACCTAGTAGTAAATTAAAGCTGATCCAAACTAAGAGAGGAGTATGTAGAAATACCCTTCAATGCGAGGTAACCTGAGCCAGGCTAAATGCCCACTGGGAGTAGCTGCTAATGTCCGCTGTCAATCATAAGAAAAATTCAAGCATCATACTCAGTCTTCATACAGTTGGAGTGTACAGTGACACTAACAAAAAGGAACCTAAAGACTGTATTGCCATAACTGAAACCTGATTTTTAAGGTTTCACGGCATTCTAGCAAACGTTTTAGGACAAGTTCAGGGCATTGTGGTCACATGGAGATATATTACTTACTTATCAACAGTAACTGCTTAATTTAAAGGTGTTAATTTGGCATAATTCGAAGTTTACATTCAATTACCCACTTTTTTCTATAGCAGTAGCAATTGATACCAACACAATAAGGCAAAATCACAATATCCCTACGCATATTATAGATTTGGAGTGCTTAGAGTGAATGACTAGTTGAGTTTTACCATAAAAAGTAATGACTAAATTACGCTTCACATTCTACTAAACAAAAAAAAAGAAACTTATTGGTGTAGCACCTCGTACAGTGCATTAAAGCCCTCAGCATTACTGGGACAGGTCTAGGCATAAATCAAAGTAAACGTGGCGCGCCAGCATAACGAGTGGCTCACAGCAACAAAAACAAGTTAGCTCCCAAAAAAAGGAAAAAAAACATCTGAGTTCTCCATCTGCTAGGCAACACAACAACAGAAATATCTAACATTTCCTCCCCACAAATTGTTGACTCGGGAGATGACTCAAATGTCAAACCTGGCAATTGTCAGGACATGTTACCTATGCCAACAATGGACGTGTTGGCAATGTCGTTTGCGTAGACACTATCTAAATATTATTTTTAAAACATTTTTGAGACCATCCCTTAGTCTCATAACACATTCACTTTGAATGAATATAAAATCATATTGAGAGCTCCAATTTTTACCCTCAACACCGAAAAGGCGATGCTATTATTTTCTGCGATGCTGACCTCGACTCTCCGGTACTCCTTTTTTGTTGGAGCCGACCCAGAGGAACCACAGGCCGGCCTTGTTTTTACCAACCAGCTTCCCGAAAACACTGCACCAGCATTAGCTGTTTTAGCGTCAGCGACACAGACCGCACCTCGGACTTAGCATCAATAACCACTGTTATTTTACCTTACAGTAAAAATAAAACTTACTTTGAAGTTAAAAAGCACCAAAGAAGGGACTTCTTGATTGTATCAGAGCCGGCTGCGAGCTCCCTGGCTGTTATTGTTCGGGACAGCTAGCGTCAGCGGCTAACTAGGCGTTACGTTGGCTAGCTAGCTCTCCGGAGCTCTATTCGCTGTCTAACGATAATGTGGCAATGCCACCTTTGAATTTTGTATACAAAAGTGTGTTGATTATCAGGAGATCAACAAAACAGAAAAATCGCTCCGTAAATTCACTGCAAAGTTACCAACAACGACTGTTAAAAATTTGGCACTTTGCTTGAGGGCTTGCCTTCTAGCCAGCTAACTACCAACTACCCTCAGCTACTGTCTTCCCCTTTCACTTCCTTCTCCAAAACATGACTGGCGTCATACGTCAGACGCGACCCGCCCACGTTACGTAATATTCATGAACAAGGACGTTAAGGTCTGATTTTCTGAGGAATTTCTTCGCCAGAATCCTCTAATTCCCAGAGAAAAATGCTGTTACTTATATCAACAGCCATGAAGGACAATTAGGAACAATATTTTGGGATAAACATAATCTTTAAGACAATCACAATCACCAGAAGTTCACTGATTGTTTTGGGTTACAATAAAATTATTTTACGATCTATCAACTGTGAACTGTGAATAAGACATGACATGAACGCCAGGACTCAAGAGCAAAAAAAAAAAAGTTAAAAGAAAGCCAGTTAATTAAATAGTTATAAACAAGCAGCACTAGTTAATAATATTAAGATCCAATAAAAAACTAAATATAATTCATCTTTATTTTTCTTGGTTTGAAATTATATTTATAATGTATAAGTTTATTTAGGAAGAATCGCAATAGGGGTGATTAAAGAAATATTTAAAGAAAAAAAACTATCATATATACAGTTAATCTACCCATCTAATCTTAAAACTCACAAGAAGTTCCATCTTTGTGTGTGCATATCTTCTCAATACCCTCCACCACAAATGCTTTTCATCTATGGGAGGGAGAACATGATGGTAATGCACTTACTCATGAGATTAGCTGTCAAGAATTTCCAAGGGTAGGCCATCCTCCACTAGAGGCCAGTGTTAGCTAATTTTGAGAGAATGGACACAGTGATTTGATGGCTTCCCTTTCTGTTCATATTTTGAACATCCATGAAGTGATGTAAAAAAACAGGCAATTGATCTGTTGATTAAAACGCTCAATAACGTATGAGATGTCTACTATTGACTTTTAAATGTGAAATGGCACCAATACATTTTCTAAAGTTTTTAGGAATGTAATGGCGTTTGAAAGTTTTGAGCCATGTAGAATTGTGGATTACTCACATATAATAGCAATATTTCCAGATTTTGTGCTGCTCTCCTCTATAACCCATTTCAACCGAAGTTTCCATTCCCAGGGAATATTACTTGGGTTCTCTTTATCATTAGTCTTTCCTTTTATTCAATCTAATTTCAAAGTAATGAGTAAATGTCATGGTTAGGTTCGGATGGACTTCAGTTTTGTGAACTTTGTGCCCAATCTATATTTATACAACCAGAGAAAAAATATGAGAATTGATTAAATCATTATCATCATCCCAAATTCCAACTCTTGGATCTTTAAACTCATAAAGCAGAAAGGAAGAGCCACAACAATACAACATTTAAGTTGTAATGTTTGGTAGTTTAGTTTCTCAGTAATACTAAAGAAGATTTGGGATAGGAATGCTCAGCGTTCATGTGTAAGTGTGTATGCGTGTGTTTGTCTTTCTTGTTAGAGGGAGTGCGTCCCTGCAGAATCCCGATGACTGGGACGACTCTGGTGTTTATATAGGAATTCCTCCCTTCTCATTTCTATTGAATTTGCAGTTTTTATGGCTTCTTTGGAACTCAGTTTGTAAACACAAAAAGTGCAGCACAAAAGTCATGTGAGCGAGTAAATAGTTCACAGGAGGGAAAGAAACAGATATTTTAACCTTATGCTAAATTTTAACCTTGATGGCCAAAGGGAGAGGTGCTTAATTTCAGCTGAAAACAAAATACGTTCAAAGTAAAAACACAAGAATCTGTTATCATGTGACTCTGCCTATTAATCCAAAATAGATATGGATCGATGCCTGTGTGTGTGTGTAAACACACATCAATGTGTGGCTGTGTGGGAGTGTAGGAGAGAGAATGAGATGAGTCCAGGAGATGAGGAGATGGTGTGTGTGTTGGGGGTGGGTGCATTAGCCCGTTTCAGACAGCAAAGAGTGCTGCATTTATCTAGGAATCTGAACCAAAGCAACCACACCAACACAGAGCAAGCAGAACAAAGAAGAGGATAAGAAGTGAGATGAACTGAGACAAAAACAAAGAGGAGGGAGAGAAAACATCATGGACAAGGCCAACATTGTAAAGATCTAAACAGAAAAGAGAAATTACCTCTTGAACTAAAGGGGGGCCCCTCTTGGACATAACGAGAAGTGGAGAATAAGTTTGGGATTTGTCAACAACAAGTGGTCCTACCATCTGGCAACAAGGTTGGATCACCAATCTGAAGCCTCAAACAAAAACAGTTTCCCATGGTTCCTTCCAGCTCTCTTAGTATGCTGTCTCTGCTGTCACTGATTGTGGCAGCTCTGCTGTCCTCGGATGCATCTCCAGCCTGTTTACATCCACCCTGCAGGGACAATCTAGTGGCTGCACCCATCCCTCCAGCAACAGGGGCAGGAGGGAGTGCCCCGTCCTGTGAGGGTCAAACTGGGACAAGTACATGTAGTCTTGGGGTTTCTCTTCCAGCCATCTCAGAGGTTCAACGTAGGCTGGAGCACAGACAGGATTCCCCACAGGCTCAGTACAAGGTAAGTCATATCGCCTGCAGTGCATCCTAAAAACGCAAGCTGTACACAATTAGATTTGTTCTTTCCATCTTATAAATTTTGAATTATGATTTGGAGAAAAGCCAGATGATGCATTATTCAGTCAGCTGTGTGAGCATAAGGTGGATCCACAACAATGATAGATATACTGAAGCAGACCTTAACCTCTGGCTGTTCTTTCATATGTGACACTCAAGGTGAGCGGAGTACAAGCCAGCAGGTCCTGTCTCATGGGATGCTAAACTTGGCACCGCCGAAAAGCCATAGTGCAATGAGTGTCCACAATCAAAGAAGGGACTAAATTAGATGTGCTTTCAAAATGTCTGCATCATATGGTTGTGGTGAGCTCATGCAGCAACAGGTGTGTGAGGGACATGGTCACAATGGATGATGTAAGTGACAACTCACAGAGACTGAGTGTGTGGATTATGCTTTGAGATGACATCTCCTGGATGAAAGGATTACACATGTAAATGTTTTTCATTTCGATACCTGAAAAAGAACACAGCCGTATTTAAATAGTTTTTCTGTGTATAAGAATACAGAAAATCTTGTCATTATGAATACATTTTGAGTTTATAAATATTCTAGTATTCTCAATTCTAAATCCTGATTCCCTGTCTCCCAAATATGAACAGCAGTTATCATTATCATAGAGTAATTTGGGATACTGTTACTATCCCAGCTCAATAGCAGCAGGTCTCTGACATCTTTTAATGGGTTTTTATTTTGGTAAAATTACTTTAAAACCAATCTTTTATTGTTTCTGGATATTCTGGTAAATGCAATAATGAGAAACATGATGGTCTGTAAGGCAAGAAAGCATGAAAGGGGGAGTTTGCATTCAATTGTTTCAAGTAACTCTGCCCTTACTCACTATCCCACAGCTTTAGTGAGAGAAAGGGCGAATCTGAACAACTATTTTGTTCACTGTTTTAGATAAGGAGATATTGTTTAAATGTTGTCCAAATCTTGTTGTACAACTCTTCTCCAATCACAGTCATGTCTTTATTAAACCAAAATTTCAATTTAATGAGTAGCAGAATATTTAACACACTGTGTTTTGCAGCCTGGAGGTGTAAAAGAGCGCCTGGTTCAGCTACAGCGCTGCATGCGCTCTCTGCAGGAATCAGGAGGCTCCTGGAGTCATGGGGGCCAGGAGAGCAACTCTTTGGGGGGCATCCTGGCTTTGACGGCAGCCGTGCTGACAGAGTGTGACCTCCACTGTCACAGCCAAACCCTCAAAGCGATGGCTAAGCGACTGGGTGAGTGGCACACATTTCTAACTCCCACCACTTCAATGCATAGACAGACATGGACACACAAAAAAAACAGACGCACACACAAATGCTAGTGCTGATGCTCCCACCTGCATGATGAACACAGTCTCGATGAGGCTTGCAAAGTGTTGGTCATAGGTGAGTGCATAGGAATTTAACTGTTCTATGTAGCATGGCAAACACTGTGTGCATGTTTCCAAAGACTTTCACTATGTACATCTTTGTGAACAAGAGATGTCAGACTTGTAAAAATGTGTGAAAATAGTAAATGTACATAAATCCTTTGCGACAAGCTAATCTTTTTCTGGATTGACAGAAAGTGCAGCAGTAGGCAGAGAGGGGGAAAAGGACCTGCTGCTCTTCCTGAAGAGCATCACACAATATCCACCCACAGGTGAAGGCATCATGGGCAATCGTAGATAGTTTCTAATCAATAAGCTGTATAAAATTGTACTATGTGTGACTCTCAGTTGCCCCCATGGAGAGGTTACATCCTCAAGATTGTGCAGAGATTTACAGACTTGGGATCAAAGAGAATGGAATCTATACCATCCAACCTGATCTGAATGGGCCAACTTTGGAGGTATTTCAGATTCGCCACACTCATAAAACACACAGACAGACCCCCGCCCTAGTTATCTTCTTTTAGAATTTTGCATGCTATCTGTGGATCAGAAAAAAGTCTGGGTGTTATCACATAAGAGTCTTTGTTTTGACTCAGGCCAAATGTGACATGGAGACGGCGGGTGGCGGGTGGACAGTAATCCAGCTTCGGCAGGATGGCTCAGTGGATTTCAACAGGACATGGCAGGAATACCGAGATGGCTTTGGTGATCTACAGGGAGAGCACTGGCTGGGTAATGCAGTGCTGCATGCCCTTACCTCCAATGGTCAACACCAGCTCCACATTGAGTTGGAGGACTGGCATCAGCAAAAGCGCCAGGCAACTTACAACAACTTCAAAGTGGCCTCAGAGACACAGAGGTGAAGCACACCACAGACACACACTACATATATAGATATACCAAGAAAGCTTAAGATAAAAACACTATTAAGAGCTCCATAATACCAAAAGCTTTGTTTGATCTCCGCACAATTTAAAATATAAATAATTGAAATAGTGACTTCCCATCCATCTATTTTCCACAATACAGGTTGTTGACATTCTGTGTTAAATGTGATTAAAAACAAAGTTCAGCAATTTACTATTCCCATTGATCATTTTATTCATGAATTCATGTGGAGAAAACATCATCAAATACTATTGAGAAAGAAAAGTATAACTTAGATTTAAAGGTAACAATACACTTAAAAAAATACACTTAAAATTATCATCTGGAAAAACAAATGGATGATTGACCACAGGTCAGCTTAAATTAAACAACTTAAAGAACACCATAGAGAGACATTATGTAAAAGGTAAAGATGGGCATGTTAAAAAAGCACCAAAACTTTATTTATTGGAACAATTTGTAATTCTCAATATGAAACCCCAGGTACAGAATTTTTCACCATCTGCATTACTTGATATTATCCAGAGATTCAGAGCATCTGGAGACACCTCTGTGTTCAACGGACACAGCAGATCATCAATATTAAAAGCATCTTGTCTTTGGGGTGTTAACACTGGGAAAAAAAAGAGCACGATTATGTTCACGAGATCACTGAATGAGTTCAGAAGCACAGGTTAAAGGTTTATTATCTGAAGGAGCCATAAGTGATCAAAAACCAGCGTCCGGTGGTGCTCTGTCACTGAATAGCTCTCCTCTGTTACCCTCCAGTATTCTTCTGTGGCCTCCTCTGTTGATGTAAATATTGTTTGTGAGGCTGATTAAATTAGACGTACAGCATATTCAGCTTTCATCCTAAATGTCCAACTTTTGGCTCCTCCAGGTATCGCCTGACGGCCAGGGAGTACTCCGGGGATGCAGGCAATGCATTAAGCTACAGCAAACGATACAACCATGATGGCAGATCCTTTAGCACCGCTGACAGAGACAACGACAGATACGCCTCTGGAAACTGTGGTCAGTACTACGGCGCAGGCTGGTGGTTTGATGCTTGCCTGGCAGCTAACCTGAATGGACGGTATCATCATGGCCGCTACACTGGGGTGACCAGCGGTATCTACTGGGGGACATGGTACATCCTGACAGATGGACGAACTGGAGAACGCTATTCCTTCAAGAGGGTCGAGATGAAGACAAGACCTAAGAACTTTTTGGAAGAAACTAAAATATGATAATTAGCTAAATTTATACTGTGATATTCCAGATGGATATATATTTTGAGTAGAGGTAGAGGTTTTAGTTGATGTGCTAATCTGTTTACAACAGCTTTCATGACGCAGAACCATTAAATGGACAAAACAGAAAGACTTCTTCAGCTTGTTGTTGTTCATAAAAAAACTTCTATCTTAATGTCATTGTCAGATCTTACATTTTAATTTGGCCCTTTGAATGCACCTGCTGTCATTCAGCATCAAAAGAATCATCCAATATTTCTTTGTTTCGCACTGTCTAATTAGACTTTGAGTGGAAATGAGGATACCACAGTCTTACCAAAAACAGACTATGTAAAAAGGGCGGGTTGTCAAATATAAAGCATGGATTTAAATGGTGGTAAAACATGCACTGTACAAATACAACATGTTTACTTATGTTAGATATATATATATACATATATTATGTTATATCACTTTAATTTAACCAACCCAATAATCGGTGCAGATTAGCATTCATCCCTGCCAGCAGAAGTAAAATATAAACTATCTTTAACAGCTCAAATTATTTAGGTCAGAGAATGCCACAGGAGTTGAGAGGGCATCATGTCCCTGCTTAATGCTCTAACAGCTGTTGGATCCAGAGCTCCGTGATTTTGCCATTCAAGTGATATAGCACTAGGGTGAATAAGAAAAAAGTGTCAAACCACAGTCAGTTTAGTCCTGCCTCTGTCTGTGTTGGTGAAAAGCCAAACCCAAAGTTCACAGTTTGACTCTAAGTGCTGTGTTTTGCAGTTTTTGAGAAGCCATTTTTCTCACCTCACCTGATTAATACTTTACCATGTTCAGCACCTGACACAAATGCTGACCATTAGTAGCTTTTTTTCTGTTGCCGTGCTCCAAAACTGTTCTCCCCCCTACAAATTCAAAGTCAGACACACACACATGCAGAATTACGCACACAAACAGTGTGCCTCACCTGCTCTCTAGACTTGGCGTCAGGCCGGCGGGATCCTCCATTACTCTGCTTCACAAAGCCTTTTCTCCTTTAGAGCTGCAGTGTGATTAGTGTAAGTGTGTGTCTGACTGTGTTGGTAAAACACTGTGCCTATTTTTGCAGTGTTCACAGCAAGCTGCCAGTCTCTCCGACAATATTAACATGGTAAGGGGCCGAGACAGTAAGGGCACTCAGCGGGCTCTGAAGTATACACACAGAAACACTGCGGGTACTTGTGTACACACATGACTGCATTTTACACACACACACACTCCAAATACTCAGTGTTTCTCTCAGCCCAGCCAAAGATGCACAATGTGATTGGATTCATAAAAATAAATAGCTTCAACAGCACGCATCAGGGTAACTGAATTATTGTTGCACAATCCCAAGATCCTTCTCCTCTGTTGTCTGTTTTACACATAGGTTTTAACCATAAGTACACACACACACACACACACACACACACACACACACACACACACACACACACACACTCACACAGCAGACAGTTCACCATAAGCAATCAAGATCAGTCACCCATATAAGCCATTATACATATCAGCTTTCTCATTTCATTTTGTCTGCGTGTCTTTGTTTGAGTGCAGTGTTGTATCACCAGAGAAATCAAAATTCAAAAGGTGCCCCCTGGTGGCTGCTGGACACACTTGAGGGATGAAGAAAAGCTTTTTTTCCATCTGAAGATAACCATTAAAATATATACTGCAACAATCCAGACCAGTAAAATTTAATCCCACTGGATTAAACAAAATTTCTCTATGTCATAATGTGCTGGTTGATGACAGATTGTTCGCCCTCGATCAGTCAGTTATTGCGCCTTATTCTGCTCTTCTCTCCTCTGTATCCATCAGTCTTGTTGACAAGTGAGGAACAGAGGCTCAGGGGGTTGTCACCACAGTATCCTGGCTCAGTGTCTGGAGTAGGGTGATAGGGATGCTGTTGCATGGTGTGAGGAGGCCATGCCAGTCACCTTTGCCGCCCCAGGGCCGGAAGCCCCGGTTGGGCAGCAGTTAGCCTAGCACATCCCTTTGAGAAACACAGAGTTTCTCTAAAGGAAGCTCACATTTGATTTTTTTCAATCATTACTGAGAGCCATAATAAAACATCACACTCTTATTTTTGTCTGCGTGATGACCTTTAAATTGAAAGCAGGAAAACCATGAATTCTTTAAGGAACCATCATCTACAGGATCTTGTATATGGTAGTATCAAACAGTGGCGTTGTTCTTGTGAGGTTAAGAGACATTATGGTCAAAATGTAATCAAAATCTACACTAAAAAAGATTTTTCTTGGCCATCTATTAATCCAGGACACATTAATCCATCAAACCACAAAACTTGAATGATGATCAGGTCCTCTGATACACTGTTATTAAGTCTACCTTTCTGGGTTAATCTTCTGATATATAGGGACGTTTTTACACATAAAACTGAACTTTTAAGTTTTTAGATAGATTTTTTCCTCATATATTTCATGAGGTAAAGATCTGTATAAACCAAAACAAGCTGAAAATGACAAAACAATTTTTTCAGGCAATTAATTTATATTTGCAAAGTTCTGTGCGAAAGCCAATACTTCTTCTAATTTTACATTTAAAGCAGATTTCATTGACTAAATATGGTCAATAATTCATCATCTAAACAGCAGGTGGCAATGTTGCCTAAGTGAAATCAGGGAATAACTGACAAAAGAAAGTGCAGCATTGTTTGATTTGATTGGAAATCAAACACGATATTGAACTGAAACGATCCATCATGTTCTTAGGGAAAACAATCTATACAATATGTCTTAATCTTTAGGGGTATACAAAAATCAATGTTATGATTTACAGCATAAAGTGCTGAAAGCCAGAGCCTCAGAAATAAAAGCTGCAGTGCCTCTTATCAGCACCGGGGGCACTGTTAATTAAGACCAAAGGTCAAAGGACAAAAGGTACCCATAGCAGCAGAGGTTTTGGAAAAAGTTCAAACTGGGTTTAGTTTTAGTGCATGATGATAAAAAAAGACCTGCTTCAATTTCAGTGAGGAAATGGTCACAGTAGAATAGGGTTTGGGGATGTGACCGCACAAAACACGCAGAAAGAGGCGATGAACTTGGTGGCCTGCAGTGGAAGGTACTTATCATCCTTTAATCTGCTCTCATGGTGATAAGGCTGTACATCGTGGCTGTCATGGGAAAGGAGAGGAGGAAAGCCAGTGGGTGGAGAGGAAGCAGGAGCTGGTGAGGTTTGAGATGTATGTGAGTATGACAGGCCGTTAGGGACTCCCCTTCCTTGACCACAGGACCACTGAGAGACAGCATGTGCCTTCTTTTAATACAGATCCTGCAGAAAACCAGAGCAAGGCAGCGTTCCGTTTGAAACCGGAATTCAGCAGAACAAGTGTATCCTGATGTGGTGAGGAGCTGGGGTGAGGAGAGGTGAGTAAGGGTGAGGAGGGAGTGAGGACACAGTGTGTGCCTTGTGACAGGCCTCGCTTCATATCTTGTCTAAAAGTGAACATTAAAGTGAACCTTGTGCAGCCATGGGGGGGAGGAGGAGAAACCAGAAGTCGTGCTGTATTTATATGAATGAGCTTTTAATTAACTAAAACATCTCTGTAATTATCCCTATGCATGCACAAAGTGACACTTTACAGAGTTTGAAGGACTTTCTAAAATAAGAAATTATCGCTCACTGACCGATTATCATGTTTTTTCAGCCCTTCTGCCACTGTATTTGCAGGGCCAACACCTGTCCAGCTGTGGGATGTTACTACCATTCGCTTGTAATGTAATCAGTTTTAGAGCTGATGAAACAAAGTAACCTTTTTTAACTACTCCTAAATGATTTTTGTTGATGACTTGTTGATGTTTTTCTTCTTGATTGTATTATTCTATTAATATCTCTTTCACTGTATTATTTTTCCCTTGGTGTCTTATGAAGTAGCGTGTGTGTTTGTGTGATGTACCATTTTATGTATAGTGTAATGTAATTGTAAGGCACTGACCTTTTACTAAACTTTAATCAATATTCGATAGGGAGGGTGGGGGGGTGTTAACATTTTTGGTATTTTTAGTGCTGGAATGATTATTTTCCTGCATTGTTTAGATTTAACTTTGTTTCAGTTCAGCTACTTCAGCTTTATTTTCTGAATGAAATGTGCTGCATAGATAAACCTTTTGGTTTAAATGTAGCAAATGTTCCTGTTTTACCACAACCAAAAAAGATGCCAATGTTCCCCCACTGTTCCCCCTGCAGTCGCAGGCTATAATAGACTGGTGCATCTCAGTATCAAGGAGATATGACTTCAAAGCACTTAATTGTCCTCTCGAATAAATCAGGTGCTACTATTGCTTTATAATCTACCAAACAGCAACAGAAAAGGAGGGAAATGCTGATCAAGCAGTCTCTATTTCTTAAATCAAAGGATTATCTAACCTGATAATACCCACAGACAGAAAAGCACGCTGCGAGCCCCTTCAAGGTCAGAAGCAGCTCATCATAATCCCCATGAACACTGAAACAACAAACCCAATGGATGTGTAAACAGTGTTTTGTTGGTTCTTTTTTCAATTGATGAAAACAAAGAGGACAGACACGTGTGTGTTGAGAAAGAACTTGATTACAGCACGAAGGATGTGGTAAAGCAGTCCAGTGGTCAGCTGTGTTTCTTTTCTCTTCGTTGCTTTCCCTCCGACACCTGCAGCAAGTTGTGGCGAAGTGACAAAACAGCCGCACGCACACAAACATATTGAGTAACATTTTGGTCTCCTGGTTGAACAGCAGGAATTCCTCCAAAGGCTTTACAAAAAGGCAACACACATGGATCCGATAGTTTTTTCTTTGCGTGAAAGAGATTTGTGTGTGGCATTTGGGATGGCTTAAGCAAAGCTGTAGACAGGAGGAAGAGGAGGCTGATTTACAACCCAAAATCTCTAAAGAGCAGCCACAAAATGAGCATAGATGCACATTACACCTATAGAATACACGCTTTGGTCACAGAAACAAAGACAAATTCAATCACTTATTCTTTGTTATGAAAGAAAGAGTGTGGCATTCCACAAAGGGGTAAAATAGCTA